AATCAATGTGATGTTTCATCTCTGGTCTTTTCTCAGCTTTACCCCATATCCCATTCATGTCATATACCGTCTAAAAAGACAAAATGCTGAGTTCCTCACTAAGGAATTACTTCATTAAATTCTTGAAACCTGATTCTGACAACGCATCCCCTGTCCTATAAGTACGTTTTGTCGGGCGGATAGCTTTTCCAATACCCTTGAAGAAATACCTTAATTGATGTTGAGGAATTTTGTTTTCGCAAAGTATCCGAACCAACAAAAAGGAACAAAAGAGAACAGATAATAGGATTTAATGACACAGAAGCTCAGTAAATTGAGGTTTCTTCTTAACAGCCGACAACAAAAAACTTAAAAGAGTGTCTACTCGATGTGGATTGATGAATGTGGCTTGAAATGTAGCTGTGATGGAAATGCAATTTCGCTATGGGTCAATTTGAGGCAGAGTCAAATGTATGGGATGATCTTAGTCTTTTACTTTCCATGCGATGAGGAAGTATCGTTTTTTCGATGTTATTTATGTCATTTGCGTCACTAAAAACCATTTCACTCGATTCCGTCGGTTTGTCGGTTTATTTGCTAATCGTTGGCCTTGAAGAACAGGTCGGAATTGGATGAATCTTCGAGGCAAGTCTATGAATATGCCAACAACGAAAATGCGTCATAGTTTTTGGAAATTGATCCAGTAGATGCCGAGCTGCCTGAAGAAAAATTACGAAAAAAAGATAAATCGTTCAAACTCCATTTTTTGTACTTGAGGTGCTCCTGATCCTTGTCAGAAAAATCTTTGTGGGAGTGAAAGCTGGTGGTTGTGGATCGTAGAGACGGTGATACTTCAATTTTTTGGCATTAGCATATCTATGCGTTTCCATCGCCGGTAATTCTATACACCTATTGGACATATTTCACACATCATAGATATCCCCAAAATTTGTCCTTAAAACTTTACAAAGAAACATTTTCAACACATTCGTTGCAGCAGAGCAACACAGCTTCGATCGTGATCTCACCGATATCTGACATATGAATAAGTGACAACTGACGAGATCAGCCATCGCAGTGTTGCCAGATGATCGGCACTGTCGGTAGGGCAGAAAGATACCTGATATGATAAGCACGCTAATTTTTGTATATACTAAGTGACATATAAATCCGAACACCCAGTTTAAATGGTTTTATTTTAATAAAATTTTGTATAAGTACTTAATGAAGCATAATAAGCAAATGATAAAAATTTCAAAATGATTGCACTGCTATAAAGCCCTTTGACCTTTAATAATGTGTGGATGCACCCTGATGTGCTACGCATTCTCCAACGCGCCTAGGCATGTTTCTGATCAGATGGTCAATGTCCTCCTGTGGTATCTCATTCCAGGCAACCACCAACTCCTCTCGAAGTGCTTCTAGAGTCTGAGGAGGACGTTGCAAATTGAGCAATCTCCTACCCATCATATCCCACACGTGCTCAATTGGGGATAAGTCGGGAGATCTTGGTGGCCATGGTAACAATGTGACATCATTATGTTGAAAGATGTCTATTGTGACTCTTGCAACATGTGGTCGGGCATTATCTTGTTGGAAAGTTGGATCTGCCAGGGTGTCAAGATAGGGTAAAAGATGGGGTTCTAGAACTTCGTGGATATAACGCTGTGCGCTCATGTTACCTCTGAAGAAGATTAAAGGTGACCTGGAACCATAAGCTATAGCACCCCATACCATAACTCCAACAGTGTGATGAACATGTCTTTCAACAAAAAACTGTGTATTCCTCCTTTCACCACGTCGCCTTCTAACCCTGGCACGACCATCGAGCATACCTAAACAAAATCGAGAGTCGTCACTAAAGACAATACTGTTCCATTCCTGATCCCAGAGTGACCGTTGTCTGCACCACTCAAGGCGATTACGTCGGTGTTCTCGAGTTAAAGGGAGGACCCAGTGTGGCCGGTATGAAAACAAGCCAAAACTTCTCATTCGTCGGTAAACACTTCGCATGCCAATAGGTCTTCCGTGTTCTGCAAACCATTCATTTGCAATGGACCTGGTAGTGGAGAAACGGTCCCTTAAGGCCAATAATCTTAGGCGGCGATCTTCACGGTCTGTTGTTCTACGGCGGCGTCCAGTGCCCCTTGCTCTTTGCGTACGGCCTTCTCGAAGCCATGCCTGACAACAACACGTAACCACAGTGTCTACACTTCTTTGCACTCTAACTGCAATTGCCCGAAAAGAAAGTCCGGCCGTATAGTGCCCCTATCAAACTCACTAAGTTGACGAAATTGTACAGGTCTCCGTACTCTAGACATCGTAACCGATCGTAAAGGATGTCAAGAACCAAAATCCGCCAACGTTGATTCTTTACTGCGGCTGAAATATTCATTTTCAGAGCGTTAGTGAATTAAAAAAAAACAGTATAAAAACCGGAATGTCCAACTGATAAGGCTGAAAATTTTTTCACTTGTTATTTACAGTAAGATAAATACATTCACCAACTTTTATTAAAATAAACCCATTTAAACTGGGTGTTCGGATTTATCACTTAGTATAGTAATAATTTTACCTTAAGTTATGTTCTTCCATAGCAAGGAACAATACCGTTTTCTCTTGATCCAGTAAAGTATCCATTTTTTTGGGATAGCAAAAGCGCTATTCGTTTTTTTAACACTAGCGTTCACTGAAAATATAATGTAAATGATGCGATTATATTCGCTTTGGTGTGAGTCATCATCCGGAATCTATCATAAAATTCGCTGAGGATTCTCCATCACGAATTCGCCGTGAATTATTAGCGTTTGTTGGGGGAGCCTTAAGCCCATCGGTATTTCCACTCAAACAACAGTAATCGATACTCTCCCATTGAGCCCCCTTACGAGACTCATTAATTATCATTAATGACGATAAAGGGTTTCGACTAGCTAAGTTGCGTCAACATTTCATCGTCATTCAAATCATGCATGCCACGTGGGGGCATTATGAGCTCCTAAATAGTTATATCATTATCCGTGATTGTCCTTGGACGTTAAAACAATGTTAACTGTTTTTGCTGCAGCGATCGCCTTGGTTTTGAGGAGACCTTGTTTTTGTGCATTATCTAGCACCAAGCTGCAACAGTTATATGTAGTAGGAGTTATGTACAGAGACGAATCTGGGAGCCTGAAGATGATTGAAGATTGATCAAAATAAACGTTCTCAAAAAGTTATATGTACAGATTGTTTCAGAAAGACCTGCCAATATTTATAGGGTAGCAAGAACATCTGATAATAACAAATTAAGTTCCTATAGACACGGGTCCAAAGATGCTCCTACTGGGGTACAAGGTGATGAAGTCCTATTTACGCAATTTAAAAAACTATATCTACGGCACATCATCAGCAATAAACATACAGAGTTTTTTGGTACAAACTAAACCAGGAACTAGCATACCTTGACCCTTAATTGGAAATATTTTCTAGATCACTGGCTTTTTCCGGGAAAGGAAGTAATTTTAAAAAATATCATTTAATTTTCCAACTTTTGTCTCCTATGGAATTTTTGTCAGATCACTCGTTTTGGAGATATACTAAGTGACATATAAATCCGAACACCCAGTTTAAATGGTTTTATTTAAATAAAGTTGGTGAATGTATTTATCTTACTGTAAATAACAAGTGAAAAAATTTTCAGCCTTATCAGTTGGACATTCTGGTTTTTATACTGCTTTTTTTTAATTCACTAACGCTCTAAAAATAAATATTTCAGCCGCAGTAAAGAATCAACGTTGGCGGATTTTGGTTCTTGACATCCTTTACGATCGGTTACGATGCCTAGAGTACGGAGACCTGTACGATTTCGTCAACTTAGTGAGTTTGATAGGGGCCGTATAGTGGGACTTCGGGAAGCTGGACTTTCTTTTCGGGCAATTGCAGTTAGAGTGCAAAGAAGTGTAGATACTGTGGTTAGGTGTTGTCAGGCATGGCTTCGAGAAGGCCGTACGCAAAGAGCAAGGGGCACTGGACGCCGCCGTAGAACAACAGACCGTGAAGATCTCCGCCTAAGATTATTGGACTTAAGGGACCGTTTCTCCACTACCAGGTCCATTGCAAATGAATGGTTTGCAGAACACGGAAGACCCATTGGCATGCGAAGTGTTTACCGACGAATGAGAAGTTTTGGCTTGTTTTCATACCGGCCACACTGGGTCCTCCCTTCAACTCGAGAACACCGACGTAATCGCCTTGAGTGGTGCAGACAACGGTCACTCTGGGATCAGGAATGGAACAGTATTGTCTTTAGTGACGAGTCTCGATTTTGTTTAGGCATGCACGATGGTCGTGCCAGGGTTAGAAGGCGACGTGGTGAAAGGAGGAATCCACAGTTTTTCTTGAAAGACATGTTCATCACACTGTTGAAGTTATGGTTTGGGGTGCTATAGCTTATGGTTCCAGGTCACCTTTAATCTTCATCAGAGGTAACATGAACGCGCAGCGTTATATCCACGAAGTTCTAGCACCCTATCTTGACACCCTGGCTGATCCAACTTTCCAACAAGGTAATGCCCGACCACATGTTGCAAGAGTCACAATAGACTTCTTTCAACATAATGTCACATTGTTACCATGGCCACCAAGATCTCCCGACTTATCCCCAACTGAGCACGTGTGAGATATGATGGGTAGGAGATTGCTCAATTTGCAATGTCCTCCTCAGACTCTAGAAGCACTTCGAGAGGAGTTGCTGGTTGCCTGGAATGAGATACCACAGGAGGACATTGACCACCTGATCAGAAGCATGCCTAGGCGCGTTGGAGAATGCGTAGCACATCAGGGTGCATCCACACATTATTAAAGGTCAAAGGGCTTTAAAGCAGTGCAATCATTTTGAAATTTTTATCATTTACTTATTATGCTTTATTAAGTACTTATACAAAATTTTATTAAAATAAAACCATTTAAACTGGGTGTTCGGATTTATATGTCAATTAGTACATAAGTACCTTCTACGTATCAAAAATCAAAAAAAAAAATAGGCAAGGCATTAGACAAAAAATTATAATTGGATCAATCCCAAAGTAATAATTTGATATAATATATAGAATGTAGGTTCTAAACGAAATGTCCAAATAGTAACTAAACTAACGAGTCCAAAGTTCGAAAGTAACGAGTCCTTACAAGTCCTAAAAAGTAACGATACTTTGCATCACTAACGTACTGTCCAACGGATCTAAAGGCCCATAGTTTTCATCCGTATAAAATTCACCTGGTACAAGAACTTAATGAAGACGATTTTGATCAGCGATTACAATTTTGTGAAGATATGAGTGAACGAATTATAAACGATGAACATTTTCTATTCAACACTTGCTTTTCCGACGAATGTTCCTTTTTCTTAAATGGCGTAGTAAATCGTCATAACTGCCGATATTGGTCCGAAAACAAAATCGACGGGTCTGAGCGTTTTTCAAAAAAAAAAAACTGAGCTGCCAGTAAATGCGTCTGTTTCGTTTTCGATGCGCCACCCTGTATATACACATATATAGATGAATATATTTTGTATTCGGCTACTCTCCAATAGATGGCGCTGCATAACGGTAGCCGCCACAAAGGCCACCTTGTGCTGCTGAAATCTGTTCAGTAAGCCCCAATGCATGCAAGGAGGAGGACGCTTTGTTTTTCAACAAAGCCAAATCATTACGTAATATTAGGTACAAGAAACTAATCCAAAATAATCTTTCCATCAAAAAATGGGGGGATTTTTAACCCCCCTCACGGAAATTTAAGTTTCTTGATCTTTAAAGATGCGTTGCCATAAACCCGCCCAAACTGCGATTAGCCGCCCCTAAAGGATCTTTTTGACTAGTTAAATTTTGTCTGACCTGTAATAACACTTTACAAAGACTGTCAATCTATGAGATGATAGCCGAACTGTTTTTTTGTTTAGTTGAAAATGCACAGAATTAGATTAAAATCATATTTTCACCAAAAATGAGCCACTTTTAACCCCCTCACGGAAATTTAAGTTTCTTGATCTTTGAGGATGCATAGCTTAGGAGGGGTTTCATTTTGAAAATGCCAAAATACCACTTGTTGAAATTTTTGTAGACATGATTCGTATGAGTAGTAAACTTGAGATCACAGTTTAAAAAATGCAATACAGTCCAGATAAATAATTTAATAGAAGAGTATCAAAATGTGCCTCAATTGCTACAAAAATTACCCTTTTCCTTTCTTAACTGTCTCTTTCTTAACAGCCACTTTTTTGACAGTATTAAATCTGCTCATGAAGCTTCCTTTCATACTAGAGCCAGGCTTTTTCTGTTTTTGCACTTTTTCTTCCACAGGTTCGTCTTCCTTTATCGCCAAAGGATCATCAACATCTTCATCTAAATCTACAGCTGTTTTAACCTTTTTAGAGGCCCTATACACAGCATTTTTATTTCTCATTGCTCTTTTCTTAATTTGCCCTGTATGGTCCTTATCTGGCTCAGGTTTCTGGTAAGAGCTGATGCTAAATTCTGCTAATGCGTCTCTAATGTCTGAGATTATTGTAGATGGGGCCAGTTCTAGTCCTTGACATTTTCCTGGAAGTGAATATAATTTGAAAAAACTGCCACTGACAGACAAGGAATAAATTAATGATTCACTTGGAACTCTTCAATAGTGTCAAACTGACATCAGATTCAGAATCTGTACCATCTATTTAACCAGGTACAAGTTTACATCCTGATCAGAAATATGCAAGGGTTTCTGAAAATAATTTCACAGACACCCCTTAAAATATACTAAGTGACATATAAATCCGAACACCCAGTTTAAATGGTTTTATTTTAATAAAATTTTGTATAAGTACTTAATGAATCATAATAAGTAAATGATAAAAATTTCAAAATGATTGCACTGCTTTAAAGCCCTTTGACCTTTAATAATGTGTGGATGCACCCTGATGTGCTACGCATTCTCCAACGCGCCTAGACATGCTTCTGATCAGGTGGTCAATGTTCTCCTGTGGTATCTCATTCCAGGCAACCACCAACTCCTCTCGAAGTGCTTCTAGAGTCTGAGGAGGACATTGCAAATTGAGCAATCTCCTACCCATCACATCCCACACGTGCTCAATTGGGGATAAATTGGGAGATCTTGTTGCCCATGGTAACAATGTGACATCATTATGTTGAAAGAAGTCTATTGTACCTCTTTCAACATGTGGTCGGGCATTATCTTGTTGGAAAGTTGGATCTGCCAGGGTGTCAAGATAAGGTAAAAGATGGGGTTCTAGAACTTCGTGCATATAACGCTGCGCGTTCATGTTACCTCTGATGAAGATTAAAGGTGACCTGGAACCATAAGCTATAGCACCCCAAACCATAACTCCAACAGTGTGATGAACATGTCTTTCAACAAAAAACTGTGGATTCCTCCTTTCACCACGTCGCCTTCTAACCCTGGCACGACCATCGTGCATGCCTAAACAAAATCGAGACTCGTCACTAAAGACAATACTGTTCCATTCCTGATCCCAGAGTGACCGTTGTCTGCACCACTCAAGGCGATTACGTCGGTGTTCTCGAGTTAAAGGGAGGACCCAGTGTGGCCGGTATGTGTGCCACTTGCTCTTTGCGTACAGCCTTCTCGAAGCCATGCCTGACAACATCTAACCACAGTGTCTACACTTCTTTGCACTGTAACTGCAATGGCCCGAAAAGAAAGTCCAGCTTCCCGAAGTCCCACTATACGACCCCTATCAAACTCACTAAGTTGACGAAATCGTACAGGTCTCCGTACTCTAGGCATCGTAACCGATCGTAAAGGATGTCAAGAACCAAAATCCGCCAACGTTGATTCTTTACTGCGGCTGAAATATTCATTTTTAGAGCATTAGTGAATTAAAAAAAAGCAGTATAAAAATCGGAATGTCCAACTGATAAAGCTGAAAATTTTTTCACTTGTTATTTACAGTAAGATATTCACCAACTTTTATTAAAATAAAACCATTTAAACTGGGTGTTCGGATTTATATGTCACTTAGTATATAATAAGACTTTGTGAAGCACATCTACCATTTGTCTCTCACAATGTTAAAAAAGAAACTTGGCCACTCTTAGGTCATTTGAGATGCTTAATATGAAGATGACCATCAACAAATTGTGAAACACTCAATCTGAAATAGCAATTCAGTCACTTTGGTTGCTTAATTTACCAAAGAAAACAGATATGCAGAGATTTTTGAAAATTCTCTCAAAGGTAACTCTCAAAAGATCATATCAAAATTGGTAAATTCAGGTAATCTGAGTATAATTGTCAAAAAAAAAAATCAGGTGTCATAGATCTGAATTTGAGATATAAAAAAGTATCATATACCACAATGATATTTATATGGTTCTTACCAGAATATTTATTGAGCAGCTTCTCATATTCGTTGTTTGTTACTTCCAACTCTTCCAGAATATCACAAGAATCTATTTTTTTGAACTTATTTAGTGATGTGGTGGTGTTTGCAGATGCAAAAGTATCATTGTAATAGAATTCATACTTCTTTACAAATCTGTCTTCTGGTCCCAATGGTCTTCGTGTGGCAACAAACAAAAATACTTGATCCCTCAGCATTTTTCTAAATATAAAGACTACATCTAACTGATCTTGGTTGCCCATTTCCTGGACGAATTCTAATAGTTTCTGGAACTCCTCCATCGTCATCCTTATTTTTACCCAATTCCTGCAAAATAATTTTGTCAAAAATGCTAGACTGATAAAAAAGATGTATATGATATTATTGATAAAAAAGGAGAGTGAGGAACAATCTATTCTTGGAATGTTGATAAAGCAGAGTGCTACCTTTCTACAGGAATTACTGAGAAATTGTAAGTGCATGTCCAAATACAGTGTATGATTGGGCATATTCGAGAGAATAACTTAATCACAAAGAAAGATACATACCTTAATGGTTGCTTGTAGTATATGCCATACAACATGTAAAGAGCAGCGGCTTGTGTGTTTAAGCTTCTTGGGAACACCATATACTTCTTAAGAGAATAAAAACAATCATCAAGAAATTCCTTCAACAAGAGAGCACAGTTTTGGCCACTAAAATGGAACACTACCTTAGCGAAAACATAGAAACTGGTATGTGCTAACTTACGCAAATATAAACGAATAGTTCTTCTCTCTCCACAAATTAGCAAACTCATCAAAGGAAAGGGTGTTCAGTTTTTCATACTCGTCAAAAAGATCTTCACAATCTTTTTTGAAAGCAGCAAGCAGCTGTCTGTCGTAATAGTATATCCTGCCGCGCGGTCTTCGAGAATTATCGGATTCCTCTTTTTCTTCCATTCTCTCAATTCTTCTTCTACTTCTTCAACATGCGGTAGAACTTTTATGATTTTGGAAAGATTGTTTACCTTACAATTACAAATAACCAAAAAAATATATGACATCACTAAAACTAAGGTTCTCGAAACTCGCAGCGTACACGATACATACTCGCAGAAATTCAAACAGTGTTGCCTAGCTTATTAAATTATCTTAAGTGTAGGTGAATTGTGCAAAGCTGGTCAGAAGGCAGGTAACCCTGTTCTGCTTTGCTAAATTGTTACAGAGTGTACTTTGTACTACCCTGTACCAGTTTCAGAGTTCGTGATTACTTGTCGTAGATGTTACTTGTGTTCCGAATTAGAACAACGTAATCCTTCTGAAACGTCTAAAGTGTGCTTTTCTTCCCGAGCTTAAAACCTTGAGAATAAGAGTTCCGTCACTTGTCATTCTCATGGTTCATTAATCAAATTCAAGCGGATAACCAAATGGAAATGGTATTTACCATTTTGGGTTGGTATTTACCAATCCGTTCAAGCGAGTGTAGTTATCAGTTTGGTTATAAGATCCGTGACGTCACGAATCAGCTGTTATATGTCATAGTTATCACCGCAAAATTGTGGTATTTACCCAACTCAAGAGTAGTTTTGTATTTCTGGTTATTATTTGAAATGTGACAAGTTAGAATTTTGCCGGGTATTGAATATTGTTATTGTACTTCAGCTTCATTTTTGAGAAAAATGATACAGGCTGACTTCAGTTTTACCATAAAGTGGAGCACCTTATTAGTTATACTCATTACGGTTGTTGGGGACACTTTAAATGTAGTTCCTATGCTTAACAAAGCATCCTGTGTAGCCATATACCACAAGAATATTAAAATATGGCCATATAAACTCACTAGATGATATCCACCTGAATACGGTTTTGCTAATTTCTTTTTTCATCATTTCTGTTGAATCAATAAATGTTTTCTTTGACAAGCGGAAAAATTTAGAGAATTGAAAGTTTATCATAGCTACAAAGCCGTGGTTCCATCATTAAAAAAAAACTGAAAAAAACATTTCTCCCATGAATATTATGAAAGGTTTCTTATTTAAACTTTCCATATACAGTTGTAGACGAAAAAGCACCGATTATTAAGTGATAATAAAAATAATCAGAGATTATATACGCGCTTTTCTAAAATAAACAACTTGCAACAAAACCGCGGTTAAAACCAACGCGTTCAAGCGATTCGTGTAACTGATGTCATCAACCCGTGTGTCATCTTGAACCATATTATAACCGCGGCACATAACACAGAAATTTTGGTTATTCGCTTGGATTTGATTATTGTGTGTTGATTTTATTTGGTTATATAATACTGCTCAAAATTGGCAGAATATATATTTTTCATGATAAATGCTACCGCATCCCTAGGGTCTCTTATAATAATTACAATGGTCGCAAAAAACGTGGTTTGAAATTAGTCGGCTGTCATCAAATGTTATTACATGTCTTTAATAATTTAGGCGTTCTAAAAACAAAGTTTCACAGTATTCCAGAGTAAAATTTCATCTGTCAATCTACATTCCATAAGTATGTACGGTATAACATTACCACGTGATTTACAAACGTACCCCAGGGGTGTAGTCATTAGTCAATAATCAAATCCAAGCGAATAACCAAAATTTTTGTGTTATGTGCCGCGGTTATGATATGGTTCAAGATGACACACGGGTTGATGACGTCAGTTACACGAATCGCTTGAACCCGTTGGTTTTAACCGCGGTTTTGTTGCAAGTTGTTTATTTTAGAAAAGAGCGTATATAATCTCTGATTATTTTTATTATCACTTAATAATCGGTGCTTTTTCGTCTACAACTGTATATGGAAAGTTTAAATAAGAAACCTTTCATGATATTCATGGGAGAAATGTTTTTTTCAGATTTTTTTTTAACGATGGAACCATGGCTTTGTAGCTATGATAACTTTCAATTCTCTAAATTTTTCCGCATGTCAAAGAAAACATTTATTGATTCAGCAGAAATGATGAAAAAAGAAATTAGCAAAACCGTATACAGGTGGATATCATCTAGTGAGTTTATATGGCCATATTTTAATATTCTTGTGGTATATGGCTACACAGGATACTTTGTTAAGCATAGGAACTACATTTAAAGTGTCCCCAACAACCGTAATGAGTATAACTAATAAGGTGCTCCACTTTATGCTAAAAAAGTTAGCCTGTATTAATTTTCTCAAAAATGAAGCTGAAATACAATAACAATATCCAATACCCGGTAAAATTCTAACTTGTCACATTTCAAATAATAACCAGAAATATAAAACTACTCTTGAGTTGGGTAAATACCACAATTTTGCGGTGATAACTATGACATATAACAGCTGATTCGTGACGTCACGGATCTTATAACCAAACTGATAACTACACTCGCTTGAACGGATTGGTAAATACCAACCCAAAATGGTAAATACCATTTCCATTTGGTTATCCGCTTGAATTTGATTAATGACACAGTCGCCTAGTGATCATAATAATTATTCTTCGGACTATGAAGTCATTAATTCTTGAGAATCAGATGTTTTGATAACAAATATCTGCTTGTGTTTCGTAGAAAATAAATCAAACCAAATTAAATCATAGTAGCAAAGCATAGTGCAGTGAAAATCAAGGAGCGGGGGAATAGAACAATACACTGTGAATTCTGGCTCCTGAGAGAAATGTCCTTCACCTTTCTGCACCGTCAGAGCTGCGTCTTCGCCTCAATTTCATTATTTCTCTATTGTAGTCGGCTTAAATTTTGCAACACTGTTCGTTTTTGCTATGCACTGCGAGTAACCATCAATCATTTAAAATCCAAAGATTACAATTACAAAGCAAGGGAGATAAGAACTGGCCACTTTTTTCTGTTTTATGAGCACGCCATGTTCTAGGGTCCACAGAAAAATAAAAACTGCAGGTCACAGAGACGCGTTATTTCTTCCTATACATATCTACCATTATTTTAATAGATAATCCTTGAACGCCGTAAGCTAGCTTGATTGAATAAGTGATTTTTATGAATTATGCGAAATAATTTGGTACTTGACATTTTACCTAGAATATGACAGAATATTGCCTTGATTTTATTTCCCATCACCTTCTCGTTTTGCGATTAATATCTTGTCACATATGTCACCTGTCAAAACTCCTATGACGTCACCTTAATGTAAATGTTTTTTTTAATTTTCAAGTACTTCATTTTTGCTTTTTCTTTTAGTTGAACCACATATAATTCACAACTTTCTCACAAGTGATTATACATCGCCCACATAAAGTAAGTAGCATTTCATTTATCTACCGAACGAAAAAAATCATCGAACTTCGATGTGTCACACATTATCTGTTATCAAGACTAAACAAGAGATTAGATTGGTGTGTTAATACCCCTATCATATTGTAAGGAAAAATGCCATCCAGCACGTATTATTTTCCAGAAGTAAACATGGAAAATCCGAGTGCCAGTCGCCCCAACTCCAAATTGGAACAGGCCCAGCAACAGGTGCAAGAAGTTGTCGGAATAATGAGGGTGAACGTAGAAAAGGTTCTGGAAAGGGATCAAAAGCTATCAGAGCTGGACAGTCGGGCGGAGGCATTGCAAGAGGGTGGCAAGCGCTTTGAACAACAGGCTCAAAAGTTGAAGAGGAAGTATTGGTGGAAAAATATCAAGATGATGATTATCATGGGCATTATTGGGGCTGTTATACTGATCATTATTATAGGTAAATGGGAGATGTGTTTATGATATGAAACATTTATGGAACCATTTGTTGGTTTTTTAGACATAAAGAGGGTCTAGGGAAAACTAATATACCAATAACGCTAAATTTCCCATTAGTAGTCATTCTTTCAATTCACAATCCTTTCTCTAAAATAATTTACGTTTCAAAAGTGTTATTAAGTGTATTTAAAATTATTGCAATTTTCCAGTAAAACCCTCCTCCTTACATTTATTTCTAACCATTTTAAAGGGAAACTACTTGAACAGTTTGTTAGGGTAGTAAACATTTAGGAGAGCACTTTAGCTGAATGTATCTTAAGAGAACAAATATACACACAAGGCAGGGGTGTTAAGGTTGAAAAGAAAGTTTAATTTTGAACTGACAGTTCTGTTGTCATATCAAACTAAATCATATAATGATCTGCATTTAGCCTTAAATGGTAATCAGCTAAAGCTAATAAGGGATAACTTGCAGGTTTTACAAATAATTTCTGGTATCATAAGGTTATAAATCACACTTTTTATGGATACTTGAGGTTTTTCATTATTCTTTGAACATTGTTTTGCCCAAATGGCAAATTTTATACTACAAGAAGAAATATCAGTTTAAAGCTCCTCTAACTTTGACATAAATATCATGGGCAGTACATTTATTGAGTTTGAAATTGTGAACTCAAATGCAAAATCTTAAGTTTTTGATAAATTGTTTTTTTTTCAGTTTCCATAAGTAATTCTCTGAAAGATGACACCTCTGACTCTGAAAAAGCTGTGGAGAACAAACCCAGTTCCTAGGTAAAACATTTATGCTTGTCAATCACCTTTTATTTTACAATCAGAAAACACCCATTTAATTCTTATTTCATATTATAATTATTTGTATTATCTGTTGTTGTGATGGCTGATTTCAACATACTGTTTATTGTGTAATGGTGCTTCTATTTATAAATCTTGAAAATATTTTGTATAAGGTGGACTTGCTGTTAAAACAGACCAAATAACCTGTATTTTTATATAGCTTTGGTTTCTTTGACCATGGTAAAACTCTACAAAAACCCCAGTGTTTATTCTAGCATAACATTTGTGTTTAACTTTTATACCAAATAATTAGAAATAAATGTTTTTTCAGGATACTAACTAAAACCAGTATAATTAGTTTTTTAATAAGTTATCTTAAATTTAATTTACAAAATTACTCTGGTTATAGCATGTATTTCAATAATAACCGATTTGAGATGTTTCTTCAATAATAATGTAGTGTTATTACATCTATATTGACATTTTATTTCACATATTCCACAATGTTTTTTGTTTTACCATGATCAAACAACTGTAACCTCACTTACCTTTAAGGCTTATGATATAGTATTATTTATCTTAAATATAAGTATGCCTTGATACAGTGCCTTGACATTGATAAAATTAGCACATCTGTACCACAAATGCCAATAAACAAAATATATTTTTGGGAAAATTTACAGTCCACTGTATTTTTTGTATTCCATTTATAAAGTTTATATATTCGTATGTTATTAATGGTTTTTGTGAAAATATTCTGTAATATATTTATATACTTACAAAACCTAGTGGCACCATTTTCATCTACCCCATATTGAATTCTAAAAAAATGGATTTGATTATCTTGATTCTACCCACGCACTTGATCAAATCTTCCAGACCAATAATTTTTTAAAAAGACAAACAGTAAAAAAACATTTTTTTAAGTGTTGCTAATATTTGAAGTGGAAAAACTGGGTTCTCTGTTGACCTCGTTAGATGATCCTAAAGATATGTTTGGGTTAAGTTGAAAAACGCTTTTTAGCGACACTTCGCCTTTTTATACTTTGTATAAATAAAGCCGGAATTATTAATTATCCCTACCTTGAAAAATGAATAACTTTGTAAATGTTTTATTCAGCTATGGAATCGAAGGGATTAAAATATGTTTTCTACATACACTTTATTCTTAACATAATATAGAGATGAACATGGATAAAAATATGACTGGCTGTTGATGATAATAATTACTATGTCTACTTTGCTGATTGTTCAAGACTGTTATCTGCACTTGACGTGTCTCTGGCTTCAAGTTGCTGTTTCCACATGTTTGCATACACACCTTCTTGACCAATCAGATTCTCATGTCTGTCACAAAATAAATAAAATTAGTTGCAGAAATATATTTGAAAGATAAAAACAATTAATAATAATAATAATATTTATTCACTCAATGTACAAAGATAACAAACAATATGAGTAAATAAATATAAAATCAAAACAGGCCCAATAGAAGGCATCACCTGTACATGGACCAATAATTTAAGTTGAAACTGTAGAATGCAAATGACAAAAAATGACAAAAATTAGCTACAGTAGATTATGTATTTAGTTGATGTTCGTATTTATGAGCTTATGAATTTCAGTCCTAGATATAGAATGTAGCCACTTTTTTAAATTTCTTTTGAAACAATTTCCGAAACGTAAATCTTTTCAAGTCTTTAGGTATAATTTCATAAAATTTAGGCGCTAAATAGAGATATGATCGCTGCATTATAGATTTATGCGGTTGAGGAACTACTGTGCCACGAATTTTGTACCTGGTATAATGATTATGTTTAATTTTTTGGTCGGTGTTTACAAATTTATGGTAGTGAGTGATACTGTGTAAGAAATAAAGCTGTCTTATATCATACATTCGAACATCTGCGTATAATTTTTCAGTGGGATAAAGTTTCGGTTTTTTAAATATCATTTTTAGAATACTTTTTTGAAAAACATCTAAATTATAGATATGTGAGGAACATGCAGCTCCCCATGCTAATATACCATATGTGAGATGAGGCTCAATCAGTGCATGGTATAATGTTCGAAGATATTTTTCTGTCAATATATTCCCAAGGTATTTAATTTTGTAGGATACAAATCTAACTTTCTTTAAAATATAATTGACATGGATGTCCCATCGTAAGTGAGGATCCAAGACCACTCCAAGGTATTTTATGTTGGGCACTCTATTAATTTGCATTTTTTGATCATTAATATTGAAGGAGAAATTTGTGTAATTTGGCAGATGTCTAGCATAAGATCTAAATGGTAAAAAATGTGTTTTAGAGTAGTTAATGCTTAATTTTCTACTGTTAAACCACTGAATAATTTTGATAAAATCATTTTCAATTACATTTTTCAGATCAGTGCCTTCATATAATATTGCAGTATCATCTGCAAAACTAGTTATTTTGCCAACACAATTAATTTGGAAAATATCATTTAAATATATATTGAATAACAGCGGACCTAAGACAGTTCCTTGTGGGACACCACACTTAATATACATTTCTTTACTAAATGATCCTGATATCTGCACAGATTGTGGGCGATTTGACAAATAACTTTCGATCAGTGAGTACGCGTTTCCTCTGAAACCAATTCTCTCCAATGCTTCTAATAATAATTTGTGATTAACTGTGTCGAAAGCTTTCTTTAAATCAACAAAAATGCAGATTGAAGGGATTCTGTTATCAATATTTTGATGTATTTGATTTACAATTTTAGTTATTGCGTCCGATGTAGCCTTCCCTTCTGTAAATCCATATTGATTTTCACTTAAAATTTTGAATTTTGTGAGGTATCGAATCATTCTAGTAGATAAAACTTTTTCAAAAACCTTTGCTATACTGGATATTCTTGATATTGGTCTATAGTTGTTAACATCTGTTTTTGTTCCTGATTTATGTATCGGTATTATATTACCTTTTTTTAAAATTGAGGGATATATGCCAGATTCAAAGCATTTGTTGATTAGGTAAGTGAGTGGTTCTGTTATGTCCTCGGCTATAATTTTCAAATGCTCGCTTTTAATACCATCGAACCCAGGACTTTTCCGATTTTTTAAGGACATAACAGTGGTGTATACTTCACATTGCTCGACATTATCCAAAATAAATGAGTTCAAAGTTCTTTTTGGAGGCTGAGTATTTTGTACATTTGCTTGTATATTACTTGCTAAATTTTCGCCTATGTCAGTAAAGAATTGTACAAATTCATCGCATATCTGTTGAGTATTTTTTAATACTGTTCCCGATGTTGAATTTAACTCAGTGACACACTCTTTAACTTTTGTTTTCCCAGTAATCTCATCAATAGTTGTCCAATGCCGCTTAGGATCATTTAAGTTATTATTCAATTTATTTAGGTAATGTTTTCGTTTGGCTTGCCTTACAAGCTCTATAAATTTATTTTTATATTGGTTGTAGCAGTCGGTATTCTCTGTAGTTGGCGTTAGTTTCATTTTTTTCAATTACAAGTAGTGATGATCCAGTTCTCCTCAAATGACTTGTAAACAATATAATGGTGATTCACATTATTCCACTAAAAGATACCCAAACCAATTGACAGCCTTATCTGTTTAAGGCCCGTATCGTCAGTCGTCCCTACAATTGTAGGGCGCGTTTATGGCCTCCTTGATTGTCATAGTTTTATACTTCTCCGTGTCAACGCTCTATTTTGAGGTTATGTCACAAACATCTATTTGCATCAAAATGTGCTTGCTTTTGAGTTATATCATGTTTTATCAGCCCGAAATTTCCTACTATTTAAAAGGAAAACATATCTTAACAATAGGAGAGCGCTGACGCTGACACGGGACGAGTGTAATCTAGAAATTTTTGAAGGAGAGAAAAGAGTATGACAATCAAGGAGGCCAACCCTACAATTGTAGGGACGACTGACGATACGGACCTAAGAATACACAATTCCTTTTAACAGGAAAATGCTATTGCTTCTAAGGGAATTAATGAGATCCTATTTATCAACATGGCTGTGTCGATGTAAATTGTATGACGTCTAAACAGCATATGACTGGGCATCAGTGTTGCATCCACTCTAGGAGAGGGTACTAAAGGAGTTCCCCCCAAAAGACCACTGGAAAGAGGAAAATACCCAAAAATTCTTGTCACAAGGGTATTTGCTCTCAAGCAGTCGTCACCCCTACCCGCGCTCCTCAATTTTTCATCCATGTCCTCCCAAATGTCCCTCTTGGGAATCGTCTTGAAGAATATGTTAATGTATTAATAACGCCTGTTGAAGACATTAGTCCACGAATAGTGGTCGGTGACTGTGTCTGGGATCCGGTCGTGTGAATTCCGTCTATATAGCGTAAGAGAATGAATGGAATTTGTGTGGAGGATCTGACACGATCACTGACAGGTTGAGAGCTTTAGGCACTAAGGTATATACAGTGAAAGCTCCCATAAGCGGACACTCACGGTTCTGTAACTTTTGTCCGCTTATGGGAGGTGTCCGTTTAAAAGAGAGTATGTAAGTATAGAGTATAAATAACGGGGTATATAATCATGAGGAAATGAGGTATTATAATCATGAGAAAAATGAAACAGAAACTCGCCACATTTTTAAAGTATGTATTTATGCTATATATCTATATAATATATGTACATATACGCATACAAAAACATAAATGCTTCAATACATGGTACGAGAATTTAAAAAAAAAACATTATTCTTTAGCTTGTTGAAAAAAGTTTAAAATGTTTGTCTGACGAAATTTCACCATCTTTTGCTGAAGGAGACAATTTTCGTAATAACTTTCTAAATTTTTCAAATGTTGAAATGCAGTGAAATCATCTTTAGCAAATTTTTTCAATATAGAAATATGATTTAGAGCTTCCCCATATGAATTTATCGTTTTTGAACCGCTTAGTGAGTCCACCAGTTCCACTTCTTCTTCTGAGTCGTTTGGACTACCATATTCAAGTTGGCCTGGGCTTTCTACATCCAAATTCGAAAAGTTGCCAATGGCATTTTCTTCTGTTGTTATGTTATTGTCTATGGCCAGGAAATCATCTACTTTCTGGGGATCTGCTACTCCTAAATGTTTGGCATGTCGCAGTAACTGAGCAAGTGTCGCTAAGGGCAGATCGTCTTCAGCATCGGAATAATTTTGCTCAGCAAATTCTGAGCTACATTCACTTTTTCTGAATCCAGCTTTGCCAAAACAGTTTTTAATTGTAGAGGAATTTACTTTATTCCATGCTGTTTTTATAAAATAGAAAGCTTCTAACACATTGATAGACTTTGTAAGCTCAGATAAGCTTTGACCATCGTCAATTTTTGTTAAAATATGTTTTAAAATCAAGTGCCGATAATAAAATTTAAAGTTCTGTATGACACCTTGATCCATGAGCTGACAAACAGAAGTTGTGTTTGGCGGTAAAAATATAATGTTCACATTTTTCATTTTCATATCACGAGGATGAGAGCATGCATTGTCTAAAAATAAAAGAACTTGCCTTTTTGGATTCTCATTTTCCGGTCGAATTCGACTAACCACTCAGACATGATTTCTCGGGTCATCCATGCCTTTTTGTTGGATTTCCAAGTCGCTGGTAGATCCTTAATAGCAACGTTTTTTAAGGCACGGGGACGAGCCGCTTTCCCGATCACAATCAAATCGCATTTTTCACCGGCCATATTTGCACAGAATAAAATGGTTAGTCTATCTTTAGACAACTTTCCACCCACACATGTTTCTCCTTTAAAGGACAGAGTTTTGTCAGGCAATGCGCGAAAAAAAAGTCCACTCTCATCTGCGTTGTACACATCTTCTGGTTTGTAGCCAAGCAACATGGACGGAAGTTTCTCCAAAAATTGTGACACATCAACTTGATCTACTGCAGCAGCTTCGCCAGATAGGCATTTGAAACTCACACTATGTCTCTTGCGCCACTTTTGCAGCCACCCGTCGGACGCACTGAAATTATTATAGCCCAAAGTAGTGGCGATTTCTTTAGCTTTCATTTTCACTAACGGCCCTGAGATTGGAATGTTCTGACTTCTAGCTTTCACAAACCACTCAAAACATGTTTTGTCTATAGCAAAACCTTCCTTTTTTAAAAAATCCTTCTTTTGATTTATATTAGTTCCTGATTGCCATTTACTCCTGATATCTTCCTTATTTTTGGCAATTTCAGCTGCTTGCGTTTTCCCAATATTAAACCTCTTTGCCAAATGACGAACTGAAACACTTTCTCTGTCTAATACGTTAACAACTTCCATCTTTTCCTTTAACGAGAGCATCCTTTTTTTTTGGTGCCATTTTACAGTTACAATAATAAAATACGTAACTCAATCAACTACGAATTTGCCTGAACTGAAGACAAGCCACAAGATTACATACAGGCTACCCAACGAAATGCGTAAATGGGGAATCACCTAATATAAATCGGGGAATTACCGAATTTTATGTATGTAGATATGTGCATTGCAATAAGTGGAACTAAAAAATCGTCCGGGTATTAGTTTCGCGTCCGCTTATGGGAGATTTTTTGATCACATACAGGAAAATCTAGTGTCCGCGTCCGTTTATAAGAGCGTCCGTTTATCGGAATGCATTTAACATTGAAAATTGATGGCTGAAATTCGGTTAAAAGAGATGTCCGCTTATAGGAGCTGTCCGCAAGGAGAGCTTTCACTGTATTCATAATCCCGATTCATGTCAATTTGGTCATCGTTCTTGCATGTTATTCAATAAGCAGTTAAGAATGAAAATCAATCCGAAGAAATTTATATATTTTTACCTTCCTCTCTCCACTATTTCGCCGTCCCTCAGAACTAGAATTTCATCTGCGTGGATTATAGTTGATAACCTATGGGCAACTATAATTGTCGTTCGATTCGCACACATTCGCTCCAACGATTCCTGAAAAATATACTCAAGTGCAATAAACCATTAATTGTGAATGGTATGTAAATAGAGGTGACCTTACGAGTTTTGCGACGTACACTGTAAAACGACGAGACTTAAACATCGAATATTTCAAGTATTTAATAGATCATACTATGAAAATCGATAAAAAACCTATAAAAGTATAAAAAAAACTTATATATATATATATATATGTATATATATATATAATAATTAATCCACAGCATTTAAAATGACCATCTTCGTTATCCATGCATGCAAGTGAACGAATCTCAGCAAATGGAGGTAATTTGGGTCGCTGATTTCTAAAATAGCAATTAAAAGATTCACAAAGTGCTATTTGGAGGTCAATGGACTTTTCAGGAACTTACACCGATCTCAGCGAGAAAATGACATCTGTTTCGTGATCTACGCATCCGATTTATTCAAAAACGGCTTTTTGTTCAGGTTATATACAGGGTTACAGGAAAAGTCGTGCTAGATCCGTTAAGGGCATCATTTCTGACTTATTTCATTATGAAACACCCTACCCTAAACTTAACCCTTTTCGAGATATTCAACTTTTAATGTTTTTATTGAAAATTGCCGATTTTTAGGCTACTAAATGTATTTATTTTTATTTTGTGTGTGTTATTATTACTATTATTGCATTTTAACATGTGTAATAAGATGCTTTAGGACGTCAATCATTAAAATAGTCCATAAGTTAATTGAATAGGCTGTAGTAGATAAGTGAATGTTAAGAAATTGAAAAAAATATCAGAAAGTTTATTTTTCTCTAAGGGATATCTAAAAAAAATATTATGGCAATTGTTCGGCAGATGTGTTTTAAAATATCTATGTTTTATCAGCTATCTAACGAGGTATAACAATCTAGGATTTTATTTAAATGCATTGAAAAAACTTAGTTTCATAGGCGACAGTGGAGAAGAAAATTGATACTTAGCCCTAAAAAGTAAAATAAAACAATAGGTAAGCATGAAATATCATTTATTAAATCAGGTTTTCACACAACTTTTTCTTACTCTACAGTTCATGTTCAACATGGCTGCCTCTGTTTCTAATACATTGTCGCATCCTTCTACGGAGACCAGTCTTTACAACTGCAGTGGTCAACGTTGTCCTTAGTTGATTTGCTGCATCGACAATCCTTTCTCTTAATTCTTCCACAGACGAAACTGGATTTGGCTCGCTGTAGACAAGACTTTTTATGCACCCCCACACATGAAAATCCATGGGGGTTAGGTCCGGACTTCTTGCTGGCCATGGCAACGGCCCACCTCGTCCTATCCATTTGTTTGGATAATTTGTGTCCAGCCAGTCTCTGACACTTCTCCTGAAATGGGCAGGGCAGCCATCATGTTGGAACCACATGTCCCTTCTCAAGTTGAGTGGCAGATCATCCAGCAAATCTCTGAAGTCTCCTCTCAAGAAGTTTTCGTAATTTTCCCCATTTAGATTGTCCGGGAGAAAGTAAGGTCCAATCAAATGGTTGGAGATAATGCCCATCCACACATTCACGCTGAATCTTCGTTGGGACCTCGCCACTCTTTTCTTATTGGGATTCCTTAGTACTTTTGGGGCCCAGTAATGGGCGTTGTGATAGTTAGTTATGCCATCGTTATCAAATTTGGATTCATCTGTCCATAAGATATTTCTTAGAAAATCTGGGTCTTCTACGTCAGCATTTAGCATAAATCTGCTGAAGTCCAACCTTCTCGCGGGGTCTCCTTCTTCAATAGTGTGTACCGGCGTGTAATGGTACGGGTATAGGCCAGCAGTATGCACTGTAAACCACACTCTCCATTGCGAAAGTCCCAGATCACGGGCAACACGATTAGTGGAAATGGTCGGATCCGCTCGAAAGCGTTGCACTATCTCATTGTCCTGCAGTTCTTCGTTGTCATAAATTCGTGGTCTTCCCAGGTCTGTATTTCGTCTCAAAACAGAGCCAGTTTCTCGAAGTCTTAGATAAACTCTGTTAAAAACGGCCACATCCGGCACTCGACGACCGGGGAAGCGAGTTCTGTATTCGTTGCGAGCTTGCGCAGATACACAATCGCAGTATCCGTAACAAATAAGCATATCAGCATATTCCTCAGGTGTGTAGGACGTCATCTTCAACACTTCCGTATCACAAGTACAAATCAGAGTCCAGTGAACAAGCACAGTATTCACAAATCAGAAGAAATAGTCCAGAATCGTAGCCAAGTCGAGGAAAAGAGCAAAACGATATCACATCTACTATGTACGAAGCACAAAAGCAGACTGACAACCAAAACAACATCCCGTGTTGGATTTCCAGCCCTAACCGGTTATTATAATATGTTTTCTTTCATTCGCACCCACATTAAATCGTCATGTCTCGCTCGCACGGTGCGTCTAAACTTGAAGGAGAATAGGCGTGGGAACTGCTACTGGAGCGTCCCAACTACTTTTTTTCTACGAAATGTAATACAAATCCTAGATTGTTATACCTCGTTAGATAGCTGATAAAACATAGATATTTTAAAACACATCTGCCGAACAATTGCCATAATATTTTTTTTAGATATCCCTTCGAGAAAAATAAACTTTCTGATATTTTTTTCAATTTCTTAACATTCACTTATCTACTACGGCCTATTCAATTAAGTTATGGACTATTTTAATGATTGACGTCCTAAAGCATCTTATTACACATGTTAAAATGCAATAATAGTAATAATAACACACACAAAATAAAAATAAATACATTTAGTAGCCTAAAAATCGGCAATTTTCAATAAAAACATTAAAAGTTGAATATCTCGAAAAGGGTTAAGTTTAGGGTAGGGTGTTTCATAATGAAATAAGTCAGAAATGATGGGTACTACACGCCCTTAACGGATCTAGCACGACTTTTCCTGTAACCCTGTATAGGAGAAGTTTTGAAAATTTTCTCCAGTAATGGCAACGAAATCAGACTTTAGGTAGAATCTCTATAGTCAGGATAAAAGTGTTCAAGTGGACTTGACATAAGTTAATTTTTTGAAAGTGCAAGCTTTTGCAAACAATAGTTTTGTAGTAGGAAAATGGGTTTTCTGGAGCTATGAATGTCAGCTAGAAACTGATAAGATATTCGTGATATGCTTACGCGATTTAACCAAGACTTTGGAAGATCCTTTAGTAAACACCGACTGCCTTCTTCAGTAAGTTAGTGTATTTACCGTATTTGCGCACCTTATTTTTTGCATACAAGTGTTTTTCATAAAAAATACGGTAGTCCATGGAACAGCTATTATACGAGTTTAAACTGAAAGCACATTGTAGTTGTTGACTTTTTGTACTTTTTATTTGCTCTTGTCATATGAACAATTAAAAAACAATAAAAATAGCAAAACGGAATAAAACAGTCCAGCAATCTAACAAAAAATAACAGGAATAACGAGCATTCCGCGTTTCTGCAAGGATAATTTAGGTTTGGTATTTCAGCAGTTTCGTTTCTTTTGTAGCCTCCTCCGAAAGCCAGCTCAGAAATCTATAGGGTTTGATTTCAATGTCCGTGATGGTTAGCCAATCGTTGAATGTGGAAAAAATTATGTTGTTTAAATTAAAAAATCATTAATCATCATAACTACAAAACTAGAGGCAGTATAGATTTTCATCTGCAAAATTTTAATAGTAGCAAAACCTGTATTCCAAAGGGAGTAATTGTTCGTATTTAAACATGTTTAAGGTGAAATTAAAAAATCACTTTATGAATACCCAACTTGCATAGTGATGTAATTTTAATAGACAATAATGTAAAATTACAGAAAGTTGAATCAAAAAAATGTGTAAAGGAATAATTATAAATTGACATTGTAGCATTGATTGATAAATCTTCAACAAACAAACAAAAATATCACGCATTAAATATCTTATAAACGTGCCTATTTTGTAATAAAGGGAATTGAAAAGTATATCAGAAACAATAGTTCAAAAAATGTCAAAATATGATTTCAATTTTAACACAATACTGTAGCTGCTGATTTCCACAGTGAAAAACATAAGACTAGCTGTTGCGAGACTTTTTATATTTTTGGAAAAGAAGTATACTTTATCTGAAATCACTTGAAACACTGTGAAATACCGGGTGCGTTTTATATATCTATATTTAACACGCTCTGTTGCTGCAAAAATCGCCAAATTTCGCAGCAAATATCCCCCGTATAAGATCAAAGGCAGTTTCACCGGTCCACGTGGAGTAAAGCACGCCTATGCGTGGACATAGCCAATGAGAAAGCGTGTATTTAAGAGCTCTGAACAAGTGCAGGTGGCTACTGAAAATTGAAACAGTTTAGCCAGTGCCGTGTAGCGGTGAATAAACGTGTTTTCTTTAGTCTGTCCGTGTTTTTTCATAGATTTTATTAGTTTGTGTGTTTTTGACTTTTGAATACTCAGTTTACTTGTTGTGTTGATTGTTCTTGTGTGTCCTAAATATGGCTCTTTGGAAACCTTGCGAAAATGCTCCGAGCCACGGGGAGATGGTTGATGAACCTGTGCAGGCAGAATTCTTTCATAAAGATTTAGAGGAACAGACCGAAAGAGTAATCCTAAATATGTATGATTGTCTGAAAAACGAAAATCCAGACTCCTCGCAAAATCAAATTTTAAACAGAATTTGTATCCTGACAAAAATCAGTCGGTCTACCATTTATCGGGTTATAAAAAGGGGAGATGTAGTCAACCATTCCTTCCACAGAAAGCGCATAGGGCAAAAATTAAAAAGAATAGACGTGGGTTTTCAGGAAGATATTCGTCGTATAATATACGGATTTTATAAAGAAAATTTGGTGCCCACGCTGGAAATGATACGGGATAAATTAAAAGATTATCCTGAAGATTTTTATAATTACAAATGCTTAGACTCACTGCACTGTATTGTAAAACTGTGTGGTTTTCAATACAAAAAATTAGATAAACGAATGGTGATTATGGAGTCGTCTCGAATTGCGCCAAGAATTTTTGCACAAAGTTAAAATCTATAGAGAGCAGAAAAGAAATCTGATTTACCTGGATGAAACGTGGTATGATACCCATGATATTGTGCAGTACGGCTGGGTTGACGACAGCAACAAGTGCATTTTAAATGCACCATGCAACCGTGGAAAACGAATCATTATTCTCCATGCTGGCAGTGAAAATGGATTTATACCTAATGCCTTGCTGTTATCTGCCAAAAATATCAAAGAATCATGTGCCGACTATCATGAGGACATGACCTCCGACTTATTTGAAAAATGGATAGAGCAGCAGTTAATACCAAACATTCCCCCAAATTCAGTGATTATTATGGACAATGCGCCATACCATTCCCGACAGAAAAACAAAATTCCGAATATAGGCACAAAAAAACAAGACATTATTGATTTTATGAAGGATAAGAGAATGGAAATACCACAAAAATCAACCAAAGCCATATTATTGGATCTTATTAAAAGACAAAAATTTGAAAAAGAGTATGTTGTTGACAATCTGCTTCAGCAAAATGGCCATGAAGTATTACGTCTACCTCCCTATTACTGCATTTTTAACCCGCTTGAGTTGGTCTGGGCTGCTTTAAAAAAAAAGTAAGAAAACATAATCAGACCCCTCAATTAAGTGAATCGCTATTGGCTACAATAAGAGATGCAGTATCTCATATTGCTGCCGCAGACCTATGGAAGCAGTGTTCTAGGCATATTATTGAAAAAGAAAATGAATATTGTGTTTTGCCTCCTGTAAATCCCGTTGTAATTCCTCTACAAGATGACTCTAGCGACAGCTCCGAAGGCGAGGATGATATATAAATACCTATAATGTAAGTCTTTATATACCTTTTTATATACCTACTTGCTATCTAAATATTTGCCTATGTCAAACGTTGGAATTCTGTAACTTTTCCATTTCTTAACTTTCAGTCAACATAAATTAAACTCCCAATATAAGTATTTTTTATCCCAAATCAAAAAAATAGGAAGATAGTAAAATCCATTTATTGTGATATAAAAACATTATTATTATCGTTCTAAATAAATAACCGCACGCCTATGATACGTCATGAAATTACAAAGGACGCGCCGACCAAAGGTTTTTATGCTATTTCAAGTGACTTCAGATAAACCATACACATTTAGTGAGGCTCATAAAATATGTGATAAAAAATTGTAGTATATAAGTTTACATCTAAAAATGTTTTCAGTTAGCAGTCTGCTATGAAATAAAGAATATGAATATGGATACGAATGAAAAATCGAAACTTCTGAAAAATACCGTAAAAACATCAACCTAAGACGATTGGCTCACAAAAAATTATCTGAGCCGCACAACTGTGATGCCTAAATTTCCTGGAAAAGTAGACCAATGTTAAGAACGAGAAAACCTTTCAAAAACACAATTAGAATTACCGAGTACCCGGCAGTCGACCTTTTGAAAAAAGTAGTACTCGGTGCATCCCTACGCAAGACACTAATTTCAAACCAGGTCACCATAAAATCATCAACGAAGCTGAGTATACTAAGGTAATTTGAGACGCTGTCTCACGATTAAATTTTCATCCCCGTTTAATGCAGTACACAAGTCGTACCTGTATATTTCTTTCAGTCTGGGTATCCAACGCACTTGTAGCTTCGTCCAACAGTATAATCTGCGGTGCTTTAAGTAACGTCCTCGCTATGGCAACCCTCTGTTTTTCACCTCCACTTAACCTAAGGCCACGTTCACCCACTTGCGTCTCGTAACCGTCGGGAAACTGCAGAATTTTCTCGTGAATATCCGCACCTCTAGCCGCTTCTATAATATCAGCGTCTGTCGCCGTCAAGCGACCATATTGTATGTTGTACCTCAAGAAAAAAAAAACAAAATTCACATACATTCATTGGAATATGAGATATTATTTACTTTATAGTGTTGTTGAAGAGCACAGTATCTTGCGGCACAACTCCTATAGATCCACGTAGAGATTCTTGTGTGACAGTTTTGATATTCTGTCCATCAACCAGTATGGAACCTGTATCAACATCATAAAACCGGAATAGTAGTCTTATGATCGTGCTCTTGCCACTACCTGAAGGCCCAACCTAAAACAAGCATCCTCTCAACAAGTAGTAGATGACGACGTTTAGTCCTTATCAGAGCTCGTCAGTACTACTTGGGTCACAGGCAGAGGATAAGACACGACATTTATTTGATGGGATAAACCGTGTGTAGAACCATTAATTAACAAAATCAGAAAAATCTCAATCCAGTTGAAACCCACGTATGCTTACAGCTGCTATACCTGTCGACCACTTTCTTGAAGAATCTGTTAATCAATGTTCCTATCCAACATCGCCATAACTATACTAAGTGACATATAAATCCGAACACCCAGTTTAAATGGTTTTATTTTAATAAAATTTTGTATAAGTACTTAATGAAGCATAATAAGTAGATGATAAAAATTTCAAAATGATTGTACTGCTTTAAAGCCATTTGACCTTTAATAATGTGTGGATGCACCCTGATGTGCTACGCATTCTCCAACGCGCCTAGGCATGCTTCTGATCAGGTGGTCAATGTCCTCCTGTGGTATCTCATTCCAGGCAACCACCAACTCCTCTCGAAGTGCTTCTAGAGTCTGAGGAGGACGTTGTAAATTGAGCAATCTCCTACCCAACATATCCCACACGTGCTCAATTGGGGATAAGTCGGGAGATCTTGGTGGCCATGGTAACAATGTGACATCATTATGTTGAAAGAAGTCTATTGTGACTCTTGCAACATGTGGTCGGGCATTATCTTGTTGGAAAGTTGGATCTGCCAGGGTGTCAAGATAGGGTAAAAGATGGGGTTCTAGAACTTCGTGGATATAACGCTGCGCGTTCATGTTACCTCTGATGAAGATTAAAGGTGACCTGGAACCATAAGCTATAGCACCCCAAACCATAACTCCAACAGTATGATGAACATGTCTTTCCACAAAAAACTGTGGATTCCTCCTTTCACCACGTCGCCTTCTAACCCTGGCACGACCAGCGTGCATGCCTAAACAAAATCGAGACTCGTCACTAAAGACAATACTGTTCCATTCCTGATCCCAGAGTGACCGTTGTCTGCACCACTCAAGGCGACTACGTCGGTGTTCTCGAGTTAAAGGGAGGACCCAGTGTGGCCGGTATGAAAACAAGCCAAAACTTCTCATTCGTCGGTAAACACTTCGCATCCCAATAGGTCTTCCGTGTTCTGCAAACCATTCATTTGCAATGGACCTGGTAGTGGAGAAACGGTCCCTTAAGGCCAATAATGTTAGGCGGCGATCTTCACGGTCTGTTGTTCTACGGCGGCGTCCAGTGCCCCTTGCTCTTTGCGTACGGCCTTCTCGAAGCCATGCCTGACAACACCTAACCACAGTGTCTACACTTCTTTGCACTCTAACTGCAATTGCCCGAAAAGAAAGTCCAGCTTCCCGAAGTCCCACTATACGCCCCCTATCAAAGTTGACTAAGTTGACGAAATCGTACAGGTCTCCGTACTTTAGGCATCGTAACCGATCGTAAAGGACGTCAAGAACCAAAATCCGCCAACGTTGATTCTTTACTGCGGCTGAAATATTCATTTTTAGAGTGTTAGTGAATTAAAAAAAAAGCAGTATAAAAACCGGAATGTCCAACTGATAAGGCTGAACATTTTTTCACTTGTTATTTACAGTAAGATAAATACATTCACCAACTTTTATTAAAATAAAACCGTTTAAACTGGGTGTTCGGATTTATATGTCAGTATAATAGCTGTTTTATACAATCAAATAAAATCACGAGTAAATTGCGTTTTACACTGACAATATAATATTCCTTCATGAATTGAGTGCATGGCCAAATTTCAAAGGTATAAAACAGGAATTTGACGTCAAATAAATCCATGAAGTTCGTCGAATATTTCTTCACGCACATTAGAATTTTTGCCATGTTGGGCCTCAAATTCCATAGTGCCAAAATTGATATCCTTTCCATTATATAGAACAGCTTTTCCATTCAAGTATAACAGTTTGATAGAACTACAGTATTCTTTCAATTTATGAAATTTGCCTCAAAATGAAAACCACAATACATATAAAAACTCAAAATGTTTCTAGCAATAATTTGTTATGTGGTTGGCAGCACTGTGTACTGTAAGATAATATACTAAGTGACATATAAATCCGAAGTCCCAGTTTAAATGGTTTTATTTTAATAAAAGTTGGTGAATGCATTTATCTTACTGTAAATAACAAGTGAAAAAATTTTCAGCCTTATCAGTTGGACATTCCGGTTTTTATACTGCTTTTTTTTAATTCACTAACGCTCTAAAAATGAAAATTTCAGCCGCAGTAAAGAATCAACGTTGGCGGATTTTGGTTCTTGACGTCCTTTACGATCGGTTACGATGCCTAGAGTACGGAGACCTGTACGATTTCGTCAACTTAGTGAGTTTGATAGGGGCCGTATAGTGGGACTTTCTTTTCGGGCAATTGCAGTTAGAGTGCAAAGAAGTGTAGACACTGTGGTTAGGTGTTGTCAGGCATGGCTTCGAGAAGGCCGTACGCAAAGAGCAAGGGGCACTGGACGCCGCCGTAGAACAACAGACCGTGAAGATCGCCGCCTAAGATTATTGGCCTTAAGGGACCGTTTCTCCACTACCAGGTCCATTGCAAATGAATGGTTTGCAGAACACGGAAGACCTATTGGCATGCGAAGTGTTTACCGACGAATGAGAAGTTTTGGCTTGTTTTCATACCGGCCACACTGGGTCCTCCTTTTAACTCGAGAACACCGACGTAATCGCCTTGAGTGGTGCAGACAACGGTCACTCTGGGATCAGGAATGGAACAGTATTGTCTTTAGTGACGAGTCTCGATTTTGTTTAGGCATGCACGATGGTCGTGCCAGGGTTAGAAGGCGACGTGGTGAAAGGAGGAATCCACAGTTTTTTGTTGAAAGACATGTTCATCATACTGTTGGAGTTATGGTTTGGGGTGCTATAGCTTATGGTTCCAGGTCACCTTTAATCTTCATTAGAGGTAACATGAACGCGCAGCGTTATATCCACGAAGTTCTAGAACCCCATCTTTTACCCTATCTTGACACCCTGGCAGATCCAACTTTCCAACAAGATAATGCCCGACCACATGTTGCAAGAGTCACAATAGACTTCTTTCAACATAATGATGTCACATTGTTACCATGGCCACCAAGATTTCCCGACTTATCCCCAATTGAGCACGTGTGGGATATGATGGGTAGGAGATTGCTCAATTTGCAACGTCCTCCTCAGACTCTAGAAGCACTTCGAGAGGAGTTAGTGGTTGCCTGGAATGAGATACCACAGGAGGACATTGACCACCTGATCAGAAGCATGCCTAGGCGCGTTGGAGAATGCGTAGCACATCAGGGTGCATCCACACATTATTAAAGGTCAAAGGGCTTTAAAGCAGTGCAATCATTTTGGAATTTAAATCATTTACTTATTATGCTTCATTAAGTACTTATACAAAATTTTATTAAAATAAAACCATTTAAACTGGGTGTTATATGTCACTTAGTATACATGAATTTGTCTATTGGTGTAAACAATGCAAGCAATCAGGATGACCTTGATGACATCCATCTGGATAAATTCGCGAAGAAATTGTTGACGTAAAATGGGCATAAGACGAACCTCAAGGGAAAAATGCCAAAACATAACCTATATGTATAATAAACCGAAACCAATAAAATGATTACGATATACTAACATACTGATTGATTCTGTTCAAGGATTAAATCCTAAATTAAAATCAAAGCGCCAAGCCAAACTGTAAGGTTTATATTTTTAATCTCAAATCACAAAACGTGAACGCGTCAAATAACGAATACCCAAATTCTGCAAGGTTAAAAAATTGTTCAATTTATTGGATCGTGTAAAGCGGCTATAATCGTAGACGACGCTGTTTCGTCCCAATTAGAGCACATCAGTACGACATACATCAAGTCGGAAACCAAGATTACTAGATGGATAAAAAATGTTACTGAAACTTACCAATGCTACTGTTTTCCCTGGTGCTACAGAAAACGTTATGTTTTTCAGTACTATTCTCTCGGGCAGATAACTGAAACTAACGTTGTTAAAATCAACAGCGCCTTTTTTTACAGATATGGCACCGGCACCAGGGGCGTCAATAACCTCTTGTTCTTCTCTGAGGAGGTCGAACATGTTCTCCATGTCGACAAAGTTCTTTTGAATTGCACTGAAAATTAACAAAATATATATAAATGAGAACGTCTGTCCAGTCTGTATCACTTCTGAAGCACGATACCGGAGAGACGTAAACATTTGTGCAGTTATTAATTTAAACCCGAGGAAGGTTACAGGGATGGCTTTACCCGCGAAAATACGAGGTCTGTTAATTGAGTAATTTTTTATTCAAATATAATTACAATTTCATATTGTCGCCCTCAAAGTAACTTCCTTCTGAAGCCACACAGCGCTGGAGACGGCTCTTAAACTCCTCATAGCAGTGCTCGAACTCCGATACTGGCATAGCCTTCAGCTAGTCGGTTACAGCCTTTTGAATGTTTTCCACTGTCCCAAAATGAGTTCCCTTGAGGTGATTTTTCAACTTCGGGAAGAGAAAAAAGTCACAAGGACTCAAGTCAGGCAAATAAGGAGGCTGAGGAGGCACAGGATTGTATTTACTGGCCAAAAGTCGTTTATTGACATTGCTGTGTGACAAGGAGCATTATCGTGAATCAACACCCAGCTTGTTCTTGATCTGATGAACGGTGGTGTGAGTCAAACTTTACACTTCTCCGATAATTCTGACTGTCGACAGATTCTGTCAATATTTTCATCGGTTCTTGAAGATGAAGGCCATCCGCTTCGTGGTTCATCTTCAAACGACTCTCTTCCTTCTGAAAATGGCTTAAATCACCGAAAGTCCTGGGCTCTCCAGTAAGTCTGCTGAAGTTTAGCACGACTTTCCGTTGCAGTATGCCCAAGTCTGAAGCAAAACCTGACAGCACACCGTTGCTCGAAATTGATGTCACTCATTTTTAGAACACAATAGAATAAACTGTTTCACAAAAAAATTCGAAACGGACAACCAAATAATTCGAGCGAGTTCAAACTTGCACTAAAGGCGGATCACATGTTTTCCGACCTCCCCTCCAAGCCCGCCGCCTCCAGTGTTGCCAGATCGAACGCTATGTTACTAGTCTCATTAATCAGATCTCGTATACAGTGTTCAATAAGTATGGATAGATCAAAATATCTCAAAAATAAGTTTCCTGCAGAAAAATGTTGTAAAGCAAAGTTGTAAGGTTTGAAAAGATTCATCCATTAGTGATCTTTAACGTGACCTTGACTGATATTCAAGGTTATTTGAAGGTCAAGACAGTTTTCTTAAATGAAACCCCTACTTAAAGAGCGGGAAATTTTACGTTACAGTATATCTTTCCCATGAGCTTGTCCATGATCATGGAAATTTGAGGGTGGCCCAAAAGTAGGGAAAGGGCTAAATATCTTGAAAAATACGTTTCAAATATAGTTAGTGATATTAGAAGTGTTACACCCAGAAAAAATAAATGTTTGTTGAGATTTAAATCCGGTGCTACGGGAAAACATTAATGACTGCTTCTTGAAGAAAGTCCGTAGTACGACGAGCAATATGGGGAAGTGCGTTGTCTTGTGAAAAAGGACGTGTGGAAGGCCATCTAGATACGGCAGTACAGTGGTCTGTAGGACATCATCAACATAACGCGCAGCAGTCGTATTACCTTGAACAAAGAGAAGGGCTACCATAGGCAATAACCCCCAAACCTTTACTCCAACAGTCCTGTGTACATGCGTTTCAACAGCAAATTCAGTATCACGTCGTTCTCCATGGCGGCATCTTATCAGTGTTGCCAGAGCGAAGTTTAAAATATCCGTCACACGTATCGCAAAATTCCGCTACATGCCGCTACGGTCTAAAAATTTAAGGGGGGGGGGGAGGCTTAAAATAAACAACATATATTTTTTACATATTTACTTTTTTTTAAACACTGTCTAAAAACCCTACTAAAAATACAAACAGTAACATAATATAATTGCAATTTTTCGTAAAAACATAAAAAGTATACCTCTAAAAAACAAAACTGTCTTTGGTTTAGAATTAGGAACTAATAAAAAATAGAAACTATCACCAATATCTTAATTTTAATAGAAAAAAAAAACAAAAAATAAGGACAAAGAAGAAGCGGAAACGTGGAAATGCCTACGTTTGCTTATTTTATTCACAGTCAGAATCAAAAATTACTTCTTCTTCAGCTTGTTCTTCCTTATTTACATTATATACATTCTTTTTATATTTGTTTAAATGATTCTCATTAAAACTATAGGATAAACAGCACTGTTTTTTTGATTCCAAGTCTAATTTAATTGTAAGTAGTGCAGACAAAGTTGATGGTATTATTTTATTTCTTTTTTTTGTTTTGTAATCAAGCATATAAGAAAAAGTTCGCTCAACATCAGCGTTTCCATGAGGCAATGTTAAAATGATTAGAGCCAGTTTACCTACATTGCGAAATAAATATTCGTCATTAAAATTTTTGAGGTCGTTTACAAACGACCAAAATTCAATGACATTACTTTTTGTATTTAAAATTTCCTCTTTCTCACTATCACTAAAATAAATACATATTTTCTTTAGTTCCAAAATTGCCTTTTCGGTTTCAATATGAAGGGCAAATTTTTTTAAAACGGCTTCATGAAAGGTATCACTTATAATAAGACGATTGTTCATCACATCAACCGGTGAGAGAAACTTTAGCTCTGAAAAGAAGTTGTCTTTGATAGGAAATCTTTTAAGGGGCTCTTCTACCGATTTTTGGTAAAATGTGACACATTTTAATTTAAATTGTTCGATTGCCGTGTTATTGCAGTGTTTTATTGCATCCATTGTATGCGGACCAACATTCACTTGTTCAATTGGTAATAAGCAGTGGGGATCATTAGGATTTAGATTATATAATTTCTCATTTTTAAAATATTCTGGTCGCATAAAGTTTGTACATAGATGACGTACAAATCGCTCACTCTCTATTGATATGATATTGAGCATAACTTTCTCTGATTGAAAGAGAGCATTAAATTGGTTAAAAATGGGCAACACGAATTTAAAAAACATTAAATACGCCTTAACAAATGGATTCTGTAACTCATTAAGTATTACATTTGCTACAGGATTTTTGTCTTCAATGGAAGCTAATCTAAATAGGCTAAGCAAGATGTCCCACTGATCCAAAACTCTATCAACACATTTGGATAAAGCAAGCCACCTTGTTTTACTAGTGCTTAAAATTTGTAATTTTGACTTTTTGAAATATTCCCGTAATTCTTCAAGAACACACTGCCTTTTTGGGCTTCTTGAGAAGTAAGAATATAAGTTTTGTAAAAGAGCTTCAACGTTGCTTGGAATCTTTTAAAGCTGCCGCCACCGCCACTAAATGAGCAGAGTGGCAAATGCAGCCATTGACAATTATATTAGGATTATCTTTTAAAAGATAAGTTTTGAAAGATTCGTTATTGCCCATCATAACACTAGCGTTGTCGGAACAGTATCCAACAATATTGGTAATTTTTACTTGATTGGATATAACGCATTTTTTAAAAAGAGAATATAAACCTTTGGCGGTATCTTCATCTGCGTTTATTTTAATTATATCTAATAAATGGGTTTTAATTGAATTTTTATGAATATACCTTACAAGAATGCATAGTAGTCTTGTATTGCTCAGGTCTGTACTCTCATCCAATAAAATAGAAAATGGTTTATTTTCCAATTCGGAAATTATTTCGTCTTTAATAACAGGAGCCAACACATTTTTAATTATATTTATGCATTTGGATCTTTTTAATTTAAGTGAGCTAGAGAGATCCGAGTCTTTAAAACATAATTGACTAACTCCTGTTATATGATCAACAGTTCTAAAATGACTTACAACTAAAAGACTATATCTTAAGCAAGCAAATATTTGAAGTTTTTCCAACTCACGTGCTTCCCGAGACTGAAAAGTGCTATCTAACGTTCTTACATTCGACATTGCTTGTACATTAGTGGCATGCCTTTTTGATTTCGAATGATTCACTAAATCTGATTTTTTAGCACCTATTATTTGATTACAAGCTTTACATTTTGCTTTCAACTTGTCATTTTCAATAGGTCCCAACCAGCCTTTAAATAACGGATCTTCTAGCCATGATGAAGTAAACATTTGTTTTCGTGTCTTTTCTTAACAGGTTGCTCTGGCTGTTGGTTATCCTGAGATTCGCAAGTCGAATTATCAGGCTCAGACCTGATTCCACTAGATTCCGCTCTTCTATTTTGTCTGTATTCAGGTTCGGGATGCTCCGAGTCCGACACAGACGCAGTCGAAGTGGATGGTACGGCCACGTTTGGTTTCACCGTTTGTTTTTTAGAAGGATTTTTATTAAAAAAATCGTTAATTTTTTGCTGTCGCCTTTCCATTATTCCTATTTTCCAGAAGAAAAAGCGTATGGCAACACTGCATCTTATCCTTCTGAGACCATCGTGCGTACCTATACAGAATCGCGATTCGTCGCTGAAGATGACATTATGCCATTCTGCCACCCAATGTTGCCCTTTTCTGCTCCAGTTCCAACGTTGACGACAGTGGTCCGCAGTCAGACGAAGCACTAACCGTGGACGGTATGAAAAAGGTCCAAAGACTCGAATGCGGCGATAGAGTGTACGCATAGTAACAGGTCTACCTTCTTCTCCAAACCACTGGTCAGCGATCTGACGCGTAGTAACAAAACAGTCTCGTAGGGCTAGTGGTCTGAAGCGGCTATCTTGACGCTCTGTGGCACGTCTCGGTGAACCAGTTGGCCTTGTTCGTGTTCCTCTGCCTTCTTCTATCCACACACGACACAAACGCATTACCGTCATTGCAGTACAATAAACACGGCGGCCAATTTCTCGATAAGACAAACCAACATTTGGACGTCGTCGAACTAGAGACATTTTGTTATGCTTAACACTAGTAGATGAAAGGGCAATAACTAAAAATATCTGTACTAATCAGCTTTCAGAAAATGCTTTCTTCGCAAAATCTAAGAGATAACATTTGGACAAAGGTAAACAAAAACCAAGATAAAACGTTGACATTGTTGCCACAGCATGCTTTAAGTATAGTCATTATGTTTCCAAAAAAAAACAAGTTGCAGAAATTATTTTTTCTGGGTGTAACACTTCTAATGTCACTGAGTGTACGACTAAAGAGATAGATAACGTGATTCTTACCGGTAGTAAGTTCCAAACCAATTCAAAGGCACGTAAAGTTGTACAATATAAGTTGCAAATAATACATAGTCTCCAGGTTGAAGAGTATGCTCCTCCACAACCATGCGAACACAGAGCAAACTACCTACCAGCAATCCACCGCATATAACTATATTTTGTACTGAATTCAGCATGTTCAATGTCAGGTTAGACTTGAACTCTTCTTCCTAAAAGAACATCTAGTTAACCTGGACACTGTACAAATATCCTTTTAAAAAATGTACCTGAAACTTTAAGACAGCCTCCCTAAAAGCTTCTACTTCATATTGTTCGGCTCCATAATACTTTACAGTTTCGAAATTCAAAAGCGAATCAACGCTCCTGGCTCTAGTTTCATTGTCGGCCAAGTTCATACGTCTTTGGAATTTGGTCCGCCACTCAGTCACAACAACTGTCAGCACTGCAAAAAACGCAATTACATGTTTCCCTATTTACTGACATTTTTTATCCGAAAGATTCACGATATTTTAGCATTGATTAACATATTCTACCAGAGGATACCAAATTCAAAGGCTTAAACAAATAAAGAATAATAAACACTCTCAAACTTCGTTTATTAACGTTTCATACGATCCTGATCAATTTCGGAATAATGTCATTCATCATATCCCCGTACATTTACCCGTTAAACTTGAAAATATCTTTTACAGTCGGGAGTCGATACGTGCGACGTGGTACCCCGATGGACAAGCGTCGTCGGCGGTGGTCGTAGGTCACAGTCGGCAATCGCTTCCGCACTGCTGTAGGCTGTGTGAAGACCAATATCGTCATTCACATGGAATTAGGCATCGCAACGATCATGTCCGCTAGCAGCAATTCCTCTCAGGGGGAGGAGGAATGCCATTTAATTTTTGTTATACATGTTCGTAGCTAACTTTTCTCTCAGAAGGGCTAACTGCCGATTATAATCCTTTGCGAACTGATGGCAGCGCAGCGTGTGAAGTATAGGGTCGACTCTCTTGATGCCCTTTTCTAGGCTTCGTAAGAATGAACAATTTTCTTTCATTACTTCTAAGAGAGTTAATGCGATCGTACTTGGCAACATGGCTGTAACGATGGAAATTGGATGCGGACGTTCAACCGCGGCATAAAATTTTATGCATCTTCTTGTAGAATATGTGAATCAATTTTAGATAGTTTATCGATAATTACCTATATATAATATCATCGTTACAAAGACAATAACTCCAAACCATATATTGAACGCAGCTACAAAATAGACAACTGCGACTATAATATCAGTGATAGTCGGAAAAATAGAGAAGAAAATATAACTCAATAGATTGTTAATACTATCTGTTCCTCTGTCCATAACTCTCAATACTTCGCCGGTTTTTCTGCCTAGATGCCACCTCAACGACAAACTGTGTAAATGCCTGAATAACTCAACCTACAAAAAAATGATGACTAAACTCTGAGAGGTCAACAGTTCAGTTTTAGATTCACTTACTTCCACCTCTCTTGTTGTGTATTGTTGCACCCTGATCCAAAGGAATGATCTCAGATTATTAAGTAACCCCATACCCCCGGTCCCACCACCTTGGAGGAACTTGAAGGCCACATATATTAGAATCCAATCCCATCGGAAAAGCATTTGTTTTTCAGGCACTGCCATACTGTCAACTGAAATTAAAAAAAATATTTTTTTGTATGAACGAGAAGTGAAAAACGTTACCATTTTATTTGAGTCAATTCCAAACAATAAACATCAGCAATCTAACAAACGCTATAACAAGATTAAAATGAAATGGAAATCCTAATGAACATCTTTCAAAAACAATGTTTTAACGTTATTGGAGAGAAGTTATTATAGCTAGTAAATCACTGTGTAGTGTATAGCGAATTTCCTTCAAAACTAAAATGTGTTACAATTACTCCTGTTTCAAAAGTTCAAAATTAGAGCTATATAGAAATATGAGGCCAACTAGTGTACTGCCAGATGTCAAGAAGCTCTTAGAAGGAGTCATGTATGAACAAATCAATGAATATATTGAAGAAAACAACAAATTGACACTGAACCACCAATGCAAATGCTACTAGAAAGAAGGCGAAATATAGATGAAAAGGTTTACAGTAATATTTTTCTTGGATTTCAAGAGGGTATTTGAGACTATTGACAGGAAGAAATTGTCAACGAAATTGCTATGAATTTAAAGGTTCAGTATCCAACATATTACTAAATTATTTAATCAATACAAGTCAAAAAACTAAAACTGGCACTACACTTTCAAGCATTAAAAACATTTTTGAATATTAATGATATTCCTGATGTTTTACATCACTGCAAAATTCACATACTTGCTGATGATACATTAATATAATAATCAAGTAAAGACATTGAAACTACAATAGAGCTGTTCAATAATGATATGAAAAACATGATTGAATGGAGTCAACGGAAACATTTGAATATATGAGCATATATGTAGATAGTAAATTCAAATTTGAAGGGCACTAAGAATATAAAAAGATAAATTACTTCTATAGTATCTCGTATAGCTTGAACATTTATCATCTAGCATTCTTCCTCATTTGTTATATTGTTCAACTATTTTGTACACTGCAAGCGAAACTGTATTTTCAAAATTACAAATATTACAAAATAAAGCTATGAGAATCAGCTTAAATAAAAATAAATATACTAGAATAAATTTTATGTTGGCAGAACTCCAATGGTTAAATATCAAAAATTTCATAACCTACTTGGTTTTCATTTTCATATTCAAGTTAAAAACCATCTTAAACCAAATCATTTAGAAACTTTTATTGAATTGCACAATGTTATTCTACTAGATAGTAGCAATATAACAAACAAATCAGTATAAAAAGGATTGTACGAATTTAATAAATTAAGTAATGAGATCAAGATGTATGCCATTTAGAAATGTTCAAAAGGAAATTGAAAAAATATTTCATGGAAAAACAGAATTCATGGCAGTGAAATTTTGTAAAAAAATATGTAGACTTGAAGATATAAAATATTATGTGATATACTGTATAACATTGATAATATAGCAATAGTGGTAAATAAATCTACAACACACAAATGCTTCGAAATACAGACTCAATCTACTTGACTTCATATATTTTGAATCCTTGAGTATGAATATTCGAAAATAATGAAGTCAAACGTTCTGACAAATCTTATGCATTTCTTCTCATTTCAAAAATGCTTGCGTACATCACCTATTCATGTCTTACCTATAAGTTTTTGATAAATAGGGACGTATAGATTTACAACTCTTCCTGCTGCCAATAGAATAAAACAAGCTATCACCCGAAACTGTAAAGAGCAATCTTTTTTCGGCCACAAAAATGGCGACAGTATTTTCGCCTTCTTCCAAAAATTCTTCCATGTTGACTGGTTGTCGCTCCTCTCCTGAAATCCAAATCGCTCGGTAGAATACTCAAAATATAGGTCGACGTTTTGTCAAAATGTACCTTGAAATCCACGTACGCTCTAAAAATTAATATTTCAGCCGCAGTAAAGAATCAACGTTGGCGGGTATTGGTTCTTGACATCCTTTACGATCGGTTACGATGCCTAGAGTACGGAGACCTGTACGATTTCGTCAACTTAGTGAGTTTGATAGGGGCCGTATAGTGAGATTTCGGGAAGCTGGACTTTCTTTTCGGGCAATTGCAGTTAGAGTGCAAAGAAGTGTAGACACTGTGGTTAGGTGTTGTCAGGCATGGCTTCGAGAAGGCCGCACGCAAAGCGCAAGGGGCACTGGACGCCGCCGTAGAACAACAGACCGTGAAGATCGCCGCCTAAGATTATTGGCCTTAAGGGACCGTTTCTCCACTACCAGGTCCATTGCAAATGAATGGTTTGCAGAACACGGAAGACCTATTGGCATGCGAAGTGTTTACCGACGAATGAGAAGTTTTCGCTTGTTTTCATACCGGCCACACTGGGTCCTCCCTTTAACTCGAGAACACCGACGTAATCGCCTTGAGTGGTGCAGACAACGGTCACTCTGGGATCAGGAATGGAACAGTATTGTCTTTAGTGACGAGTCTCGATTTTGTTTAGGCATGCACGATGGTCGTGCCAGGGTTAGAAGGCGACGTGGTGAAAGGAGGAATCCACAGTCTTTTGTTGGAAGACATGTTCATCACACAGTTGGAGTTATGGTTTGGGGTGCTATAGCTTATGGTTCCAGGTCACCTTTAATCTTCATCAGAGGTAACATGAACGCGCAGCGTTATATCCACGAAGTTCTAGAACCCCATCTTTTATCCTATCTTGACACCCTGGCAGATCCAACTTTCCAACAAGATAATGCCCGACCACATGTTGCAAGAGTCACAATAGACTTCTTTCAACATAATGATGTCACATTGTTACCATGGCCACCAAGATCTCCCGACTTATCCCCAATTGAGCACGTGTGGGATATGATGGGTAGGAGATTGCTCAATTTGCAACGTCCTCCTCAGACTCTAGAAGCACTTCGAGAGGAGTTGGTGGTTGCCTGGAATGAGCTACCACAGGAGGACATTGACCACCTGATCAGAAGCATGCCTAGGCGCGTTGGAGAATGCGTAGCACATCACGGTGCATCCACACATTATTAAAGGTCAAAGGGCTTTAAAGCAGTGCAATCATTTTGAAATTTTTATCATTTACTTATTATGCTTCATTAAGTACTTACACAAAATTTTATTAAAATAAAACCATTTAAACTGGGTGTTCGGATTTATATGTCACTTAATATAGTAACAAAATTTTGCGGAAATACGTTTTTCTTTATTAAAAAGATTCCGCACTTCTATCCGTCAGAATGGTGGGCTTTTTGAACATTTATTGAGATAAAGCTTTGATTATCTAATTTGTTTTTTCTTTTATTTTAGAAAAAACAAGAGTAATTATTTGTAGCAAATTGCAGGTGAAATTCTAAAAATTGCGCGTTCAAAAAAAACAGTGGCGTACTATTTTTATTTAGAAAAATAATGCCACTAATCCCCTGTAACTCCGCCTCTGGTGCACGTTAATTTTAAGTAAAGACTTTTGAATGTGGATAATACTTAGGTAAATCCACATACCAAATTTAAGTTCATTCCAGTTGACGGTTTTGAAGATATCAAAAAAATTGTTTTTAATTTTTAAACTTCCATAAGGATCTATTTAATGAATGCATCATTGTGAATGTATATAATTCTGCTACATTCTTTGATCTAATTGTTAATGTATCAAAAATATAATTATTGTGATAATTCATTTTAAGAAATCAAAGTAAAGTAAAGCTATCTAGTTATAACTTCAAATAGTTACGCAACATTACCATTATCATCAATTCATGTTTCATATTAAATACGTAAATTTACGGACATTGCGATACAGTTTTTGTGATTATAATCGCAAAGTAATGAATATTTAATTTCGGACTGCTAGCACCAAAGATAGTGTTTTTTCTTTCGAGTGAATCCATTTCGAATTTATCGGAATTAACTCAAAACAATGTTCTTATTTTTAGATATCATTGAGCTTGATTTCCGCTTATTTAAAATATGCAAGCATATCTTTTCGATGATGAATTTTATCAAGGAGCAGCGTACTACTTTCTGGCATACTATCGCGTTTTATCCCAGAATAAAGTTTATACTGGAGTGAATAAGGAAGTTAGGACCCACCTCAGGACAATTTTCGGGATACCTAAGAAGTCATTGTAATTCAACTATAATTTGTCATATTTAATATTAGTTATAATGTCCCAATTTCACTATAATTTTGAGGGATATGAAGAATGTTAGATGTTGATACCAGTTTTCGTCATGTACATTTCATACAAAGCTTGCGGCAGTTTCGAGAATTGAAATCACACAACAATTTTAGGTAATATTCCACCAAAATGTAAGCAGCATTTTTAAGTCTATGATCTTTATCCACTATTTCTGCCTCTGAAGGAACTTTGGCAGAACCATATCATGAACATATGAACTTTAACTTACAAGTAAACAAACGAAAAAAAACTTAACAGTGTTACGTCAAATGTAGGTTAAATATATGGACCCGCGTACTGAACTATTTTTGTATCGATTTTATATGCAGACTTTCCAGAGTCGGCTTTACGGGATAAATAAGAATGAGAAGCCTTAGTTACATATTACAAGTTAAAGGTGCCTACAGCCCTATGAGAGATTCATAGGACAGTAAAGACGCTAAAACTGACCGTTTTATGCATTATTTTTTCATTGCAGATATATTATGTTAAATGTATAACTGTTGAAACAAGACTAATAAACCATTTCAAACAATCACTTGACATCTTTTTTATCAAAAACGTAGGACACTGCTTAAGCAAACAAAAACGCCGTGTATTCACGTTTTATTCAAGAAAGATAGCTTTGTCGCTTAGTTAACATACATATTGTTTTCTCCTAAAATGGGAATTTTGCGAGAAGTTATATTTATGGGATGGAGTTTCACTTTGAATCACTACCAAATATATTTAAATGGGATTATTCAAATTAGTAATACAGCTCTTATCTGTCCAACCATAGATGCTCAACTATGGACAGATGTTTCGTGCTATTTGGCAACGCCTCAGCATAGTGTACGCTTGGTCTTGGTGGACAAACAATGAAAGCTGAGCAACTCTACTATAGCACTAGAATTGGAGGCATCCGGCAGCCACAGTGGTCACCTGACTGGGATATAGTTCCAACAGATACCTTGCTGTTTTTACTTTCACAGTGGTCAATTCTGGTAAGATATGGCACTTTGTGCATCCTTATTTCAATAGAAATCCTCGATTTAGTTAGAAAACTTAAAAGTATATAGCTAGATCAAACAAAAGAAAGTTTTTATCATGCCACCCTCTATTGCAAACAGCACTATCACATTTTCAGTATAATTTCAGCGATATGTATAGTATTGGGAAGTAAATAGTGACAAAAAAGTTAACAGTGCAATAGAGAGTGTATCAAAAATAAAAGATATGAGTGACATGAAGATAGGCTTGCTATTGACATTGCCTGGTATGGGTGACATGTTGAAAAATAAGTTACAATTTGTTTTTTTTTGAAGGGGTACAAAGATACTTACTGGACTTATGTGAATTCTTTGGGCATCATTCAAGCTAAAGTAATCGATATTTTGCATTATGCCTGGAGCCTTCAGTCCCAAGAAAAATATCAATAAGCATGTCACATATCTAAGTACAAACAGCGCCATTTCTATCTCATCAGTTAAACTAAAAATTAAAACATAAATGTCAATAATGGAAAGGTTGTTAAAATATGATCCATAAAGTGTCTTATTCTATGATCTATATGGTAAGTCATTTACCTTTTTAACTTGAACCACCAGTTTTCTTGTCCCAAATTCAAAAAGGCCAAATTTTCAGACATGAATGTTAAAGCCCAAAAGATAAGTAGTACAATACCATGGCCTCTAGGTGGGAGAGATGGTAACTGATAATGTCTTTCAACTCTTATCACCCATAGTGAGAATGGATATGCTATCACTGTCATTAGCAGTGATACTATCTAAAATATTATAAAAACTACTGTTGTAATACATTATTATTTAGAAAGACGATTGAGGGTTATATGGTTTTAGAGGTCCAATTCTTGACATAACTGCTAATGGGTGATTCATTTAAAGGTATTTTTTTTAAGATGCATAGAAAATAAAAACAACCAATTATATCAAGTTTCTAATCCCTCACTTGTCCCCTCTCATCTATCATAGCCCCAAAGAAAAATGTCCCAATTGTGTAGTTGTTTCCTTTGAAAAAAGTATCACTAATGAATCACCCAATATAAATATTAAGGTGCAATTTTAGAATTAGGAAAAATATTTTTTCTTTTTGTATTATGTAATAATTTAACATGCAGTAATGCAACATAACTTACCATATACCCATATATCGATTTATCATTCAAGATTGTTGCTTGAAGGGCAAACCTAGCAACTTCGAGAACAGGTAGAAATATTGTCAAAAACAATTGAAGATAATACAATTTTGATGTGGGCAAATGTGTAGGGGATACTTCTGTACCATACTTTCTGTACATACACAGTTGCAGGGTCCCAGCTATCAAAATAAAACCTGCTATCACAGTAGACGTTATCGTGTCCATAAAACATTGGGATGTTCCATGGTCTACCCACACTTCCCAAATTGTTATGTTTGGGGGGCAGTATGATATGTTCAGCTTCATTTTATATCTAAAAAGAATGTTTCAGTCAGGGGTAACCTTCCTCTCCTAGCTCCTAGCTAGAGCCCTTGTTAGTGTAGCCTGGTGATCTCGGAGCATAAATGAGATATTGTCACTATAGCACAAACCTGATTCTTTCATTTGGTTAATGAGAATAGTTTAGTGTAAAATATTTGAATAAATCATTATAATATTAACAACCCTTTTGATATCCAACAGTTCATCACCCTTAGTTTAATATTAGCATCTTTTTGAGAAATACTTCAGCAAAATGCATACCCTATTCCAGAATATATTTAGGCATGTATTTATATATCTGCATAGACTATATCTAGCGCTAGTAAATATTTATTACTGTAAATATCCAACTTCGTGACTCAAAATGTATACAAAGTGTTTGCTAATACATACATCGATAATTATTTGATTACAGCAATGATTGTACTTACCTTTTCTAGTGGATTTCAAATTATTTCATTAAAACGATTCACCACCATAGCAAGGGGCCTCAAATAGCACGTAAGGCGACATAAAATTATTAAAAAATTCGTAATCTGTATTTGTTTAGTCATGCAAAACACAAAACGAACAACAACTTTGCTCCCGTCAGCAATTAAGGTTAGGTTTGGTGCCGTGTTGTTGCCAGACTCTTACGTAAATCAACAGTTCTTATGAAATTGATCATATTGGGACCACTGGCGGAGGGATCCTGCATTTTAAATGTTTAGGAGCAGCCAAAGTGCCTAGTTTATTAGTTATGTTATTTATAATTATTAATCAAATTCAAGCGGATAACCAAATGGAAATGGTATTTACCATTTTGGGTTGGTATTTACCAATCCGTTCAAGCGAGTGTAGTTATCAGTTTGGTTATAAGATCCGTGACGTCACGAATCAGCTGTTATATGTCATAGTTATCACCGCAAAATTGTGGTATTTACCCAACTCAAGAGTAGTTTTATATTTCTGGTTATTATTTGAAATGTGACAAGTTAGAATTTTGCCGGGTATTGGATATTGTTATTGTACTTCAGCTTCATTTTTGAGAAAAACGATACAGGCTGACTTCAGTTTTACCATAAAGTGGAGCACCTTATTAGTTATACTCATTACGGTTGTTGGGGATACTTTAAATGTAGTTCCTATGCTTAACAAAGTATCCTGTGTAGCCATATACCACAGGAATATTAAAATATGGCCATATAAACTCACTAGATGATATCCACCTGTATACGGTTTTGCTAATTTCTTTTTTCATCATTTCTGCTGAATCAATAAATGTTTTCTTTGACATGCGGAAAAATTTAGAGAATTGAAAGTTATCATAGCTACAAAGCCATGGTTAGATCATTAAAAAAAAAACTGAAAAAAACATTTTTCCCATGAATATTATGAAAGGTTTCTTATTTAAACTTTCCATATACAGTTCTAGACGAAAAAGCACCGATTATTAAGTGATAATAAAAATAATCAGAGATTATATACGCGCTTTTCTAAAATAAACAACTTGCAACAAAACCGCGGTTAAAACCAACGCGTTCAAGCGATTCGTGTAACTGACGTCATCAACCCGTGTGTCATCTTGAACCATATTATAACCGCGGCACATAACACAGAAATTTTGGTTATTCGCTTGGATTTGATTATTGTGTGTCATATGTGACAATCAGCTGTAACTACCAGTTACAAAGAAATAATTAACTGTAATTATGAGTTACACGTGACAATTAGCTAATAAGTTAGTTAATTGCAAAACTTGTAACTAACAAATTATAGCCAATTGCAACTTGTATTTATTATAAGAAACGCTAAGAACGCGAGGTATCTGATTTGTCCTGAAAAAATTACATATACATATATGTTATTCGGAAGATTTTGAGCGCTTTTTGATAACCAAAAAAAAATCAAATTCAAGCGGATAACCAAATGGAAATGGTATTTACCATTTTGGGTTGGTATTTACCAATCCGTTCAAGCGAGTGTAGTTATCAGTTTGGTTATAAGATCCGTGACGTCACGAATCAGCTGTTATATGTCATAGTTATCACCGCAAAATTGTGGTATTTACCCAACTCAAGAGTAGTTTTATATTTCTGGTTATTGTTTGAGATGTGACAAGTTAGAATTTTGCCGGGTATTGGATATTGTTATTGTACTTCAGCTTTATTTTTGAGAAAAATGATACAATCTGACTTCAGTTTTACCATAAAGTGGAGCACCTTATTAGTTATACTCATTACGGCTGTTGGGGACACTTTAAATGTAGTTCCTATGCTTAACAAAGTATCCTGTGTAGCCATATACCACAAGAATATTAAAGTATGGCCATTTAACTAACTGGATGATGTCCACCTGTATAGGGTTTTGCTAATATCTCTTTTCATCATTTCTGCTAAATCAATAAATGTTTTCTTTGACTTGCGGAAAAGTTTTGTGAATTGAAAGTTATCACAGCTACAAAACCATGGTTCCATCATTAAAAAAATGTTTATGAAAAAAAACATTTCTCCCATGAATATTATGAAAGGTTTCTTGTTTAAACTTTCCATACACCGTTGTAGACAAAAAAGCACCAATTATTAAGTGATAATATACGCACTTTCCTAAAATAAACAACTTGCAACAAAACCGCGGTTAAAACCAACGCGTTCTAGCGATTCGTGTAACTGACGTCATCAACCCGTGTGTCATCTTGAACCATATTATAACCGCGGCACATAACACAGAAATTTTGGTTATTCGCTTGGATTTGATTAATGAAACATAAGGGTGACAAGTGACAAAACACATTTCATACCAAGGTCACAGATTAGATAACAATCAGCTATGAAACTCTCTAGTCAGTGTCAAAGACGGCGGCCCTTTTGCGGAGAAGGTCGAATGTAAATGCAACGATGAAAGAGGTTTTAGTGCTCAGCAGCAATCGGTGTTTCCTCGTATCAAGCCAGCGGCGCAGACATTCTTTGCAATCTTAGAATGATAATATTTCGATATGATATAGGTTTAGGCCGCCCACGGTTTTTCCCGCAAGCGGTAAACCACCAAACCGCCCGAAAGGGAAAAAATAGGTTAAAACCGCGAAACTGGACACGATTTTCACAGTTTCGAGATGTTGTTGCTCTAATACTAAGAAGCAGAAAAGGAAAACGTCATCAAAAATTTCATATTGGGTCCATCCACTGACCATCCGAAGATTTAAGGAAGGTCTCTTTCATAAAGAGTATCAAGGTTAAGAAATCCTGAGTAATTTTTCAATTACTATCGGAAACGAAACGAGGACCAGCGGAAGTTCTGTGCTTTAAGCTCCACTGCGTTTATATCAACGACATCCCATCCTAACACTTTTGACTCTGTGTTGCTATATGTACGATTACTGGGGAAATGTAAATACACAGATAATTCTTGTCCTCCCGTTCTTCCTTTTTCAGTAGTCGGTAACCCCCTACCCCCCTCCCCTTTTTTCCGTCGTCACACGATCACAAGAACATTCGCTTCCCACCTCAAAATGTCCCACTGGATTCGCCTCCTCTGAATGAACTTGTATTTTCGTTCACATTACACGTGTCTAGCGACCCCTCACCGTTACTCCCCATTTTCAGTGAATAGTTTATTATTATTTGGTTAACTTTTACTGGCGCTATGTCTGTTCTAATACGGTTCAGTGTTCCCCATGGCAACCACTCAAAATCAGTACCACTGGGCATCTCGTGGATAAATCGGTAGTTGGTAAGTGGACCGTCTAGAGTCTAGTCCAGGTATCATCTACGGAATTTAAGTATGTTTAATTTGCATTGAACTCCGGACAGACAATGGCGCTCATCAATAGTTTGTGCAGGCCTTTCTATGAGCTATTTCGCCTTTTTTGAGAGGGGATCATACAGCTTGTTACATTACTTCTGTGGTTAATTAACCAAGTATGACACTGGAAAAAGGAAAAAAATAGCCTCCATAGCAAGGAAGTCGATCTAAGACATAGTTCCCTTCATCAGAAGGAAGAAATCAGAGGGATTAGTACATACCTCTATACCTTCTGGAAAAACAGTTACAACTGTCGGGGGAAGTCAAATACCTGGGGGTAATACTAGACTCCAAACTAATCTGAAACCCGCAGATGAATCGCTCTCATGGCGAAACATGGGGATTAAGCACTTCCATGATGCAGTGGACGTACATAACATTGGTAATGCCCATGATGACTTATGCAACTCTAGTTCTATCATGACAGTGTAAAACTGTTACAGAGTAATACAATCTACGAACGCATCTCTGAAATGATTGAGGGGCCGGAGGACTGGCTTTGCTGTCGGCTGATCGATCTCCTTGGATCTGCCCTTGGAAACACAATAAATGCCAGTGATGAAACGGCAAAAGTTATGAAGAGACTTTCGCACCTCAAAGGGTGTCAGATGGTGCCGCCTCTGACTGATCAATCGGTAAACTTCCACAGAAAATGCGGCAACACTGATTGCTTATATTAAACAGCTGAGCACTGTAAACTGCATGATGTGTTGCCTGAATGTTGTTAGTAGCTATCTTATTTGGAATTATTTTACAACTTTTATCCATTTTCTGACTTGGTACAAATGAGTTGAACACTCCATACCAAATACAGAATAATTTTCGGATGAACTTGAAAATGTTAAGTTATAAATAATAATATACGTATATTGTAGTTATTATTTTCACTAAGAGATGTTAGTCAAATCGCAATAACATCTGCTAAACTTTTTGTATTGGAAATCATAATTTATGTTTCTATCTGTATCTTAACAAAAATCAGCTAAATGTGGCCAGTGATCGTACGCAGAACTGTTTATTTGAAAATTCTTTGTTTATATTTGAAGAAACTTATAGTCGGCTGGCCTGCCATCTATCAAGTGCTTACTGAATTCAGCTATAGTAGTCAAGGAATCTGTATAAATTGATAGAATAAAACGGTATTTCTTGCCAGAAAAGGATAACGCATTGATAAAAGTAAAAGAAAAGAAAACAGTCGGCTTGCCTAAATGCAATGATATGAATCAAGTGTGTAGTGGAGTAATAGGGAAAATAAAACAGTTGACGTTTCGTTTAGTGCTTTCTGCAAGTGTGACAATCTGTCAAAAGTTTCGTTTTTCGAAAATACAGAGCAGCAGTGTTTCCTTTTTGTGATATAATAAGTGGAAATATGTAGAGTGAAATTTTTCTTTAGTGGGTGCTACAATTTTTTGGTGCTATTTTGTGGAGTTACCTTGCGTTTAAAAGGACAGCGAGGTGAGTCCAGCTGCTAGTTGCCAGCTTCAAAATAGATCAGCTGCGGTAGTGCATGGTAGAGGTTAATTTCTTCAGCCCTACCTTTTTATTGATCTTTGATTTTATCGAATCACTTGAGTGTGAAATTAGGAAAGCAAAGAAATCTTATTTGTTATTGTTGGCATATTTCCAACCTAGTTTTTCTGAAAATTGAAGGTTTCAGCAGTCTTTAGTTAACCTAGGACACTTACTCCACAGTCCAGAAGTAAGATTCGAAATATGAAAATCATCTGATTAAAAAAGATTATTCTATTAGTAAAGTACTAGATATCTATGCAAAATTGAAGGAATTTATGATTTTTTTAATACCCCTAATTCCTGGGAGAATCCTAGGGTACTGTAAATCATTTTAATGAACAATACAATCTCGATAAGAAGAGATATAGGTCATGTATCATGTTTGTTTTTACAGAAAATATGTTTTGTTGATTACTGCTACATTTTTCTTGTATTTATCATATTTACTTTTTTCTGTGTTGGTTGTATTCAAAAACTACACTCACATCATTTATGAGTTTATATGCATTTGTATTGTATTCATTTGGTATCAGATTACTTGGTTCTGTTCCTGTTTTGCATTAGAATAAACTTGAAATTGTTTCATTATGCCTTTCTCCATATTAGTTACTGTATTACCAATATTATGTACTAATAGCATTTGGAAAACATGTAGAACAAAATAATTGCACTTGAGCTATAATTTTACCAGAACAATAACATTGGAAAATTCTCATCTAGTATAACTGTTATTGCAAAATTGTCTTTTACAAGAATGGTAGAAGTCAACTTCTGCATATGAAAATATTCTTGTTTGAACCACTAAATGTGGGAAAATATATCAATTTTTTTCTGAATCAGCTTATTATCATAATTACTCTAGACTGTTTTTGGATAGATCATGTACTGAACTGAATTGTTTTGCTCTTAATTAAAGCAATGCTGGAACATGCTATAAGATTACCCAAAGGAGTTTTTAATATATGGTAAAATGAATTTTCAAAATCTAATAATGATGAATTCAGTTGAATATTAATGTAGAAATGTAAAATTATATCTTCAAAACATATAAGTATTCATCTTAATAGGAGCAATGATTGTTAGCAATATGTTTCTTTCCAGCTGGTAAAAAAATGTTCAACTTTATAAAGAAAGCAGCTGTCCCTGGTGTGGCTGATAAAGATGATAAGGAAAAGAGGAAGAGGGATAAGAAGGACAGGAAGGAGAAACAGAAGAGGGAACGAGCCAGCATGTCCAGGGAGGAACTGCTTCGACTGGATGAGGTTATTATCAATATTTTAAGTATCAGATATCGTTATTAAATGTCCCAATCTCACAGCCCATCCAGATTCAAGCCCAAATGTTTCGAAAACCTTATTGGTCTAGGACAAATATCACACAATCAGTATTTACTGTGCTCTGTACAATCAGTATTTATTGATCCTTGTGTCAGTGAATTTCTAAGTAACATTATATGCCAATCAAATTACTGAGGTCCTGGCTACATGGTCAATAAATATCACATTCCTGGATGAATACTGATGTATCACATCATTTGCCTATGCATATTTCACAAAAAATCCTAAGAGTAGCCACAATAAAATAATACAGAGTTTTGATAATCACAAATAATGCATAAATAAACATTCATGTTAACCTTATTTGACACGAGTGAATGATTCGTGTGTGATAAATGTCAAAAATAAGCTTTTATATAATATGTAAGCAGTATTTGTGACTGCCAAAACTCAGTATGGTGTTTTGATCGCTATTGTCCCTCATTGGAATTTCCGTCAAGTATCCCCAAAAATCACGCGAATATGGGAATGGTTGCTCTGCATCTTGTTCTTGGGTTCGCGTATTTTCTGATTGGTGAAACACCAATCATAACATTTTCAGAGGAAATACTATTGTCCTATCTAGACTCTTACTGAAGCAGTATGCATTTTGTAAATAATGCAACCTGATATAAGAAAGCGCAATTTGACATGACAGTTGCAGCTATGTACGAGGGTTGATACTAAGTTAAGATTCCCAACGCTGTAACTTCGCCGCGCGTGATGCTAGGCGAAATCTGGAGGTTGGAATCGACCACTTTCTCGAAGTTAGCGTTCTGTGCTTGCAAAAGTCTGACGACTTGGAATTCGTCGATTCGGATATCTCTCTTGGAACACGCGAACACTTTTTCTGCAATTACCTTGGCAGAAGCCAATAACTAACAACACATCATGAATGAAATAAATAACTATTTTACCAGTATCTTCCAGAAAAGTGACGATGATAGCTCGGAAACTATCGAATTTTATAGCCATAACAAATTAAACCAAGATTTTCATTTTCAGTTCCGTCTTGTCGATATATCTACAGTATTGGATGCTATTCGCAGTATCAAGTCCAATTCTAGTGGTATTGATGGCATTACCATTGAGATGGTTAACTTGTGTCTACCTGCTGTAGGAATATTCATTTTGCACTTAATAAATTGTTGTTTAGAGCGCGGTGTTTTTCCAAGTGCTTGGAAGGAAGCATTAGTGCAACCTCTTCCAAAGATTCCCAATCCCCAGGTTCCTGGTGATCTCCGACCTATTAGCTTGCTGTCAGCTCTATCAAAAATTCTAGAAAAAATAGTTTATATGCAGTTGAATGAGTATTTACTCGAACGCAGCATTTTGCCATTAAATCAATCAGGCTTTAGAAAGGGTCACAGTACCACTACTGCTTTGGCACGGGTTTGTGACGATGTACTAACAGCGGCGGATAGGCAAGAAGCAGCTGCATTAGTCTTATTGGATTTCAGCAAGGCTTTTGACACCCTGAATCATAAGCTGTTAGTTTCTAAATGTAAATACATTGGGTGTGATGACTTGGTTCTGGAATGGATAGATTGCTATTTAAATGAACGACATCAATATGTCGTCATTCAAAATAAACTTTCAGACAAAAGGCCGATTTGTTCCGGCGTGCCTCAGGGATCCATATTAGGTCCACTTTTATTCCTTATATACACCGTTGACATTTCTAACACCCTTCAACATTGTTCTAGTCAATCATATATGCTGATGATATGCAGGTTTTTCATAATTTCTGCCCGAACAACTACCATTTAGCTAACAACTTTATCAATCAAGATCTGCAATACTTATGCTGCAAAACATAATTTACGTCTAAACGCATCGAAATTGACAGCTATACTTTTTTGCTCCAAGAAAAAACGTACTTTCCTCAAATCAAAAATAAATTTATCACTAAATAATACTATCCTAATATTTTCCCATTCTGCAAAAAATTTAGGTTTGTACTTGGAGGAAGATTTCAGATTTCAGGAGCATGTTGGCTTGTGTGTAAGTCTAGTTATTTTAGACTCAGGCTTCTATATGCAAGTAAAACTGTTTTAAATAGAAAAATTAAGAAAATGTTATGCGAGTCACTCATACTCAGTAAAATCGCTTACTGCAACATAGTTTATTATCCCTGTCTGGATGAAATCACAAAATAAAGACTGCAAACAATTCAAAACTCATGTAGTCGTTACATAAACAATTTAAGAAGGTACGATCATGTTTCTCACTCAATATCTTCAATGAATTGGTTGAAAATTTCTGATCTTTTCAAATACAACTTTGTTACATTTGTCGTAAAAATATTAAAAACTTCTGTTCCGGTTTATCTCATGCAAAAGCTTGTTCGTAGGAATTTAATTCACAATGTGAATACGCGCAACATTAATCTCCTGACAATGCCACAACATAGGACAGCCATTTTTCAACGGTCTTTTACGTATGATGCTGTGAAATTGATCAACTCTTTCGAACAATGTTTCATCAGCAACTTTTCTAAAAAAAAATATAAGAACTACTTATTGAGCTCTTAGGTTATTGTCTTCTCTTTGAATCGTACGTATTATGTTTTTTGTTCTAATCGTACGCATTATGTCATATTTATTAATTCTTCTTTTACTATTATTCTTCTTTTTCCTTTTCTTTTTCAGTTTTTTATTTTATTTTTAAGGTAGTAATAAGCATTGATATGACATTTATGGTTAAGTATAAATGGCCATTGGCCAGACTTCGCCATTTGTAAGGATACATAATTATGTATGTGTTACAATAAAGTCCATTGAATTGAATTGAATTGAACATCAGTTTGTTTATCGAAAGAATTACAACAACTTAACCAAAAGTAATCTCAAACGATAATTAATTTAAAATTTATAATGAACAAACAACAAATTAACAATCAACAATAAACTCGAACATTACTTAGTAATTTAAACTTTATGAAGCTCGTTGTCAAAAATAAAGGATAACTTTTAACACTTGATGTAATAACAAAAATTTGTTAAACCACCCCCGAAAAACATTTTTTTTCTTAAAAACTATGCGAGATGGCCTGTGTTTCTAATAGACAAAAAATGAAGTAAATAAAAGGATCTTTTAAATTAAATTCAGAGTCGTTGGGAGAGTTGCGAAAAAAAATCTGCTGAAATTTAAGTAGGGGGTAGTTTTCACCTTTCTCGAACCCTGTTGTTTTTTGTAAAAGTATAATACTAGGAAGTCTAGCAAAAAAATGTGTGCCAAATTTCATTCAAGTCGGACTATCGGCTACAAAAACATCTGAAAAAATGTGTTTAGACGCCCTCTAACGGACAAACGAAGCACTTTGCATAGAGGTAAATCATGCTCATATTTTGAGCCTAAAAATACCTGGTATCTCTGTCCACATAAAATTTGGACACCCCGTATGTCTAAATTAGCGTCGCCGTGGAATTTGCCAGGAATATGTTTTCAATTTCTTTGAATTTTTGTATCCATAACAGACGCCATAGTTGCACATTTTACTATTCGCCAGGAGAGGGGTGTCCGACATAGTAACATGGACCATGGAGGCGAGGTGACCACGCTGCGTACAACGCTGGAAGTCTGTCGTCTCTTCCCTCTTACCTATTCTGTGATCTGTCTTTTTATCTTCTTTCGCTTCTCCCTTTGTGGTCGTCGAACGGTTTTTCTACCATGTTTCCGTATTTGGCAGATTTACATTTCCTTTTTTTCTATATTTGAATGGTGTTCGAAACAGGAGAAGAATGGTATCAGTATGGTCCAGGTTACAATGGGATGTAGTGTTTCTGTACCCCTTCACGGTTTTTGGCAACAGGTATTTCTTTCATACAGGGTGGCCCAACGAAAAGGTCGTACCGCCATCTGTAACTCTTTTGGTAAATTTTGGGAAAACACTCGGACACGTCAATTTTGATTCGTATGGGCACATCTTTTCATCTACAGCCGTACAATACAGGGTGATCCAAAAATAAGATATTTTGCGTTACACTTTAGATTTCTAAATGGAAACCCCCATTTTTTTTTAAATTTTCCATGAAGTTTTTAGTAATTTTTGTGGAACAGTTTATAGCGATCTTCAGTCATTGTGAAACTATTTGAGTTTACAATAACATTCGACTAACTTAACTTGATACTGATAATAAAGGAATGCACGACAAGGAATAATAATCATGGATACCCCAGCAATTAAAATTGTTAAGTTGCCAGCTAGTTGTTATAAATGTTGAACAATGGCTTATCCAATTCAAGAAAGGGTTGAAATAACAATACTGTATTACCAAAATGATGGGACCATTGCAAAAGCTACTGGTTGTTTAATGCGTTGTATCCAGACAAAAATATTAACGATAAGTATGTGGCTTAGTTGATAAGAAAATTTGAAGTAACTGGATCTGTCTAATATTCGCCGTAATCGCTATCGAGGACATCGACCAGTTAGAAATGAAGCCGCAGAAATAGCAGTTTTGGGACACGTAGCACTGGACAACATCCAAAGCGCTCGTGGACTGGCTACTTCTTCAGGATTTACACGCTTAACAGTACAAAGACCTTTGAAAGACGTTAAATTTCACCCGTGCAAGATAAAACTTGTCCATGAACTTAATGGATTTTGATAGAAGGTTGGAGTTTTGCAAATTAATGTCCCAACGTTTAATCAACATCTGTTTTTTAATATTTGTTTCTCGGGTGAGTGCATGTTCGATTTAAATGGCGCGGTAAAAATACATAATAGTCGATATTCTAGTGACCCGAATCGACATTTGTTTCGAGAGGTACAGGCAAAAATAAATGTGTGGGCCGGAACTTCGGAAATCATATTGTAGGACCTTTCTGTATTCCTGGAAACTTGATGGGCGAGTCGTACTTGGACATGTTAGAAAATACAGTATACCTACGAATTACCGAAATAAAAGAAAATGACGTTTATTATTTCCCGAATCAGTGGATAGGCAGACTAGGCCCCATCGAGTGGCTGTCGCGATCTCCGGATCTAAGTCCTTTAGATTACTTTCTTTGGGGGCACTTGAAAAGTAAAGTTTTTCGTACGAAGCCAGATTCCATTCGAGAATTTCGCCAGCGGATTACGGCTGAACGTAGATAAAAAACTCAAGACATGCTTGAAAATGTGAGGAATAGATTCGAACAAAATCTTTATTATTGCTTAGAGGTAAATGGACACCACTTTCAGCACTTATTACCACATTGACCTAGGTACCTCTTTATAGCAAATTAATTTTTATCTTAACTTTAATGTGCGAGTTGTTTTTTGTTTTTTTTAATACTTGGAGAGTTGTTTTTTAATTTTAAAGTAAAGTCTTGTTACTATGGCAACTATATTTATTATTATTTTTACGATATAATCCCTTATTATCACAATTTCGAGAATTTTATTATACACTTAAATAACTTCACAACGATTGAAGATGGAAAATTTGCATTTAAACATCTAAAGTTTCACGCAATATTTTATTTTTGCATCACCCTGTAGTGTACTGCTGTAGATGAAAACACGTCCCGCTAGAAATCAAAATTGACGTTTCCCAAAATATACAAGGAGAGTCATCAATGGTGGTGCGAACTTTTCGTTAGGCCACCCTGTATAACCCATTCTGGTTTAATAAATTTGTTGTGGTCCATATGATTGATTACATAGGGAATTGTAGAAATTATAAGTCAGATGCTCATCGCGTTGATACTCACGTCTCAACGAGTATTGGGCCTAACGTAAGTTAAGTAGATCGAGAAAAAAGACAAGACACAGGAATTGTAAATAATTACCTATATTTATTATTTATTTCCAATTTTAAATTCTCAGAAACTGTTGATGGAACGTCAGTTCGCAGAACATCGTTAAATCGTTGTCATTGATAAGATAATCTCAGGACTAACACGGTTACAGTGATCAGGATATTCATTTGTGGTCATATTCTAGACTTTCCCGGTCTGCTAGTAATACGGTTTAAATCTAATCTCTTTTGTTCCAGGTGCGTCGGTCTCTGAAGATCCGCGGCCGTCGGAAAGACAAAGAAAAACTCCCATCCGGTATAACCGCCGACTATACAGCTGACTTCCTGGCCAGCCTGGAACAACAGCAACGTTCCGATTCGCCGCATTCTTGTATAGATGGCGCTCCACCCTCGGAAGGAGGAACACAACAGAGTGACAGTTCGGAAACGAGCCTGAATTCATTGACAGGAGGCGTGCAGCAGGGGCAACGAGGGGCGGGGCTGCCCCCGGTACCGCCCAGACCACCGAAAAGAGGGATCCTCAAGGCGCCTAGAGTGAGTAATCTGTATTATGTGTGTTTTAAGTTCTTTCAAGTTTTCATCCACAAAAATGCTGTGGACCTGGCACGCGAGTCAAAATCTGACATTGACCTTGGCATACGGTAATTCTTTGCCGATGATAGAATTGTCAATCTTTACCTTCCCAAATGCGCGTTATACTTCCATTTAAATGTGTTCTAATAACCAGAGATAGATTTTTATTGATCACAGTTTAGTAATAATAATAATAATAATACTCAATGTACAAAGATAACAAACAATATGAGTAAATAAATATAAAATCAAAACAGGCCCAATAGAAGGCATCGCCTGTACATGGACCAATAATTTAAGTTGAAACTGTAGAATGCAAATGACAAAAAAGGACAAAAATTAGCTACAGTAGATTATGTATTTAGTTGATGTTCGTATTTATGAGTTTATGAATTTCAGTCCTAGATATAGAATGTAGCCACTTTTTTAAATTTCTTTTGAAACAATTTCCGAAACGTAAATCTTTTAAGTCTTTAGGTATAATTTCATAAAATGTAGGCGCTAAATAGAGATATGATCGCTGCATTATAGATTTATGCGGTTGAGGAACTACTGTGCCACGAATTTTGTACCTGGTATAATGATTATGTTTAATTTTTTGGTCGGTGTTTACAAATTTATGGTAGTGAGTGATACTGTGTAAGAAATAAAGCTGTCTTATATCATACATTCGAACATCTGCGTATAATTTTTCAGTGGGATAAAGTTTCGGTTTTTTAAATATCATTTTTAGAATACTTTTTTGAAAAACATCTAAATTATAGATATGTGAGGAACATGCAGCTCCCCATGCTAATATACCATATGTGAGATGAGGCTCAATCAGTGCATGGTATAATGTTCGAAGATATTTTTCTGTCAATATATTCCCAAGGTATTTAATTTTGTAGGATACAAATCTAACTTTCTTTAAAATATAATTGACATGGATGTCCCATCGTAAGTGAGGATCCAAGACCACTCCAAGGTATTTTATGTTGGGCACTCTATTAATTTGCATTTTTTGATCATTAATATTGAAGGAGAAATTTGTGTAATTTGGCAGATGTCTAGCATAAGATCCAAATGGTAAAAAATGTGTTTTAGAGTAGTTAATGCTTAATTTTCTACTGTTAAACCACTGAATAATTTTGATAAAATCATTTTCAATTACATTTTTCAGATCAGACCAGTCAGTGCCTTCATATAATATTGCAGTATCATCTGCAAAACTAGTTATTTTGCCAACACAATTAATTTGGAAAATATCATTTAAATATATATTGAATAACAGCGGACCTAAGACAGTTCCTTGTGGGACACCACACTTAATATACATTTCTTTACTAAATGATCCTGATATCTGCACAGATTGTGGGCGATTTGACAAATAACTTTCGATCAGTGAGTACGCGTTTCCTCTGAAACCAATTCTCTCCAATCCTTCTAATAATAATTTGTCGTTAACTGTGTCGAAAGCTTTCTTTAAATCAACAAAAATGCAGATTGAAGGGATTCTGTTATCAATATTTTGATGTATTTGATTTACAATTTTAGTTATTGCGTCCGATGTAGCCTTCCCTTCTGTAAATCCATATTGATTTTCACTTAAAATTTTGAATTTTGTGAGGTATCGAATCATTCTAGTAGATAAAACTTTTTCAAAAACCTTTGCTACACTGGATATTATTGATATTGGTCTATAGTTGTTAACATCTGTTTTTGTTCCTGATTTATGTATCGGTATTATATTACCTTTTTTTAAAATTGAGGGATATATGCCAGATTCAAAGCATTTGTTGATTAGGTAAGTGAGTGGTTCTGTTATGTCCTCGGCTATAATTTTCAAATGCTCGCTTTTAATACCATCGAACCCAGGACTTTTCCGATTTTTTAAGGACATAACAGTGGTGTATACTTCACATTGCTCGACATTATCCAAAATAAATGAATTCAAAGTTCTTTTTGGAGGCTGAGTATTTTGACATTTGCTTGTATATTACTTGCTAAATTTTCGCCTATGTCAGTAAAGAATTGTACAAATTCATCGCATATCTGTTGAGTATTTTTTAATACTGTTCCCGATGTTGAATTTAACTCAGTGACACACTCTTTAACTTTTGTTTTCCCAGTAATCTCATCAATAGTTGTCCAAAGCCGCTTAGGATCATTAAAGTTATTATTCAATTTATTTAGGTAATGTTTTCGTTTGGTTTGCCTTACAAGCTCTATAAATTTATTTTTATATTGGTTGTAGCAGTCGGTATTCTCTGAAGTTGGCGTTAGTTTCATTACATTATATAGTCTTTCTTTTTCTATTGCCGATGTTATTAATCCTTTGGTAATCCAGGCATTTCTGCTTTTCTTAGTAAATTAATACATGCGATAAGTCAAAGAAGGAAAGAAAATCATTGTTGTAAAACCATTAGAGTTGTTTTTCACAAATTTACGTATTTTAATATGTAAATTGATTAAAGTGTTCTTTAAAAATTTAAATTTGCCTGCATGACTCATTGTAGTTTAAACAAAAAATAAGCCTAATTATCTTCTTTTGAGCTAAAAATACCATATTAATGTCAGTAGACACTCCCCAAGTGGCAATATTAAATGACAAATGGCTAAAAACAAATGCATAGTATAGGCCTCAAAAACCATCCTGGCTTAGGAGGGGTTTCATTGTGAAAATAACAAAAGTTTTTTTTGCAGACGATTTATGACACTGGTAAACTTCAAATCAGAGTCGAAAAAAGTACCTAATCGGTTTACACCGGATTGTAAATATATCCCACTGTTATTGAAGATATGTTCTGGTAATTGCTTTTTCATAAAAAAAAAATAAAAAATGTTTTCCCTTATTTAATATCAGTTTTTTTACACCAAGACTCCATCTCAGACATAACGCTGATTATTTTCCCTTGAATCTCTTCTGGGGATTCAACATACACTATAGCAGATTTATAATCTGCAAACATCACTAGTTAACCTGTTTTTACTTGTTTTGGAAGATCGTTCGCAAAAATAAAAAAAAATTAATGATCCCTGTAGCACGCCCAGACATACAGGAAATGTTTTAGCTCCTGTATTTTTACCTTTAGATATCGATTTTCAAATTAGGATTTGAGCTATTTCGAAAAATTAATACCTATCATGCACTTTTCTATTTCCGTATTCCATGGTTAATGTCTAGGTTGTGTTCAAGGTCATAATTTCAAATATTAGAGCAATCGCAATAGGCAGGTCTTGTTAGAACATCCGGTGCTTTAATTAGGAACTCTTTTGGTTTTAGGTTAGTGTGACAGCTGACAACCTCCAAGCTGTCGCCTCTCACACCAACGGTTTCTCAGACCACCACCCGCATGCCCCATTGGCTGCCTCAGATGATGACACCCGCGCCAGCCTCATCCGCAACACCCTACAAAACGAACTGATCGGTTACCAAAATTTGCAACAGCACTATCACCAAAACGGCGTGAACGGCAAACCCCCCGCCACTAGTCTGTCAAATCAGCTGTTGGTGATTACGTCAACGTCAGCGAGCGCTGACAGTTTGACGGATACGACCAATTCGAGTTTTGCTACGCCACCATTTTCGTTGAGTCCCGTGGGAGAATCGCAAGGATTTCATAGGTGAGTCTGAAAATCAAGAACATTTCGTTTAGTACAAGGTCAAGGCCAGGAAACTACCTGATGATTCTGAATAAAAATTTGTACGTTTCGTTGAAATATTATGAATATCTTAATACCATTTTATTCGTTTTAAGGTCAGGGCTCCGAAAATGTGTGGAGAGCCTGAAATTTGTTTGTTTGTTTATTTTAGTCAGATAGATACAAATGTGTACATTGGCACGTCGAAAGTAAAATCAATAGGTATAAGTGGTAGTGTAAAATATAATAAACTGTACACAAGTATACATTTGAAGAAATATTACAATATAAACACAGATAAGACTACCTATATAACTAAGAGAGAAGAAAAAAGGAAAGATTAGTTAAGATTAAAGAGTGTCATCCAAAAAATTTCTACAGCTTTAGTCAGAAGCAGTTCAGTAATGTTTTTCTTGTATACACTATTCGCAGGGGCTGATTTATGCTAACAGACAATTTGTTGTAAAGGGAAATGTGTTAAATTTCGATTTTGGCTATTCTGTGCATTGGTGTTTGTAACAAAATTGCCATGCCTCGCAGCATGTAGTATAACCAGGGTTAAAAAAACATGTTTAAAAAAAACAAAAATCATATTTTTTGTATTTAAAACTGCTTTTTTTTGCTTAATACATTCAAACTTAGCTGAAAAAGAACATGTTTAAAACACTTAATACATGTTTAAAACAGTCAAAAAATAAAAACAACTATTGCCTATAGAGGGTGACTTTGAAGTTGAGTCATTAATTTTCAGATAATGTTTGTAGAAGGAAGATAAACCAAAATATGTGTGTAAAAATAAAAAAAAAAAATAAAAAAAAAATGTTACCTTGTTTTATAAAATATCCTCCCGACAAGTATTTCAGTGCGGACCTGTATTTGATCGTGAGGTCTTGGAGCACCGGCATGCCGTCCATATGTGAGGTCTTAAGTCAAATGATTCACGAACACGTTGTACTACATTAACAAAGGCACGAGGGGTTGGTTGCACTCGATTGGGAAACCGATCCGCATAAACATGTGCCATTTTTTATTTCGTTTGAGCCACGCAACAGACACCACTATCCACTACCGACTGACACTGACTGTATACAACTGAATGAAATAATTGTAAAAACATCGTTCCAAATTCTTTCGCTTTTTTGTTTCCGATGCGATGAACCGGTAAGGCGAATTATATCCGTTGTCGCCAAACACGAGCACATAATATTATTATTGAGACAGGGCGGTACTCAAACTTCCAAAGGGCTATAACTTTGTTACTTTAATTTTACCAGAAAAATGGTAAAGGAAAAAAACATTTCTTTGGTCAGATCTACTCACTGTTAAAATAAATGACTCAACTTCGAAGTCACCCTGTATAATCTAGCAACGTTAATGAAGTTCCTTGAAAATGTTATTACTATTTTTGATCCAGCTCTATCAGAGCATATCTCTAATTTAAAAGAGGACGCTGGGAAGTACCGTTTGCTTTTGGGTAATTTTTCGTGTTGCGATCTCCAGCAGTCAAATGTTTTGTTGTTTTTTGTGCATTAAAGATCGGCAAAAAAGAAAGGCAATGACAGGGAGGAGAAAGGATCCCGTGTGGAAATATTTTAAGGACACTGAGGCCAAAGCTGGCTCGAAAATAAATAAAAGAGCTAAATGTTTAACCTGCAATATGGATATAGTGCCACTGGTGGCTAGAATGCGCAAAACTGTAAACAACTTAAGCAAGAAAAACAGAATATTCATATTATTATATATCAGATAGTTCTGATACCGACATGATGTTTCTACCGAACCTATTTTCGCAAAGTTAAGTAGCTTGGGGAATTGTGAAAAAGGTACATTTTTTTACTTGGAGTTCCGTAAAAAGTAGTGAAAACTAAAAATATTCTATGTAAATTTTCCATGATTTTATATTTTAAAAATATGGATTCAAGTCTTTTTGATTTTTTGTTAAATAAGATGGGTTGTATACTTTTATAGAAATGTGTTAAGTAACTTATTTAATGTTATTATACAAGTAAATACATAGTCATATTATATGATTATTCTGCTGCTTGTAGTGTACTAGTGCTAGAGTTCAATGCACTTTATTAAGTTCAGTCAAGAAACTGTGTTTTTCAGTACCTAATGTGTTTTAACCTATGGTTTTGTTTTGCAAAATAAAGTCCAATTTTAGTCATACTTGAAAAAATATAAAAAAAACTAGAATAATTCACGAACGACAAAAAACAGTGCTTAAAACATGTTTTAAACAGTTTAAAACAAATTGGTTTAAAACACCTTCATTGTTTAAAACAGTGTTTTAAAACACTTGTCTTAAACATTTATCAGTTTTATCAGAATATCATGAATATCTCAGTGTTTCTCTCAATGGAAGATTCAGGTTCAAGAAAATAGCTTGGGAAAAATATTTGTTTTGTTGAAAGGTCAAGGATATCCCACCATTTCATTCATTTTAAGGTCAATACTGGGGAGCTACTTAAGGAGCGTAATCCATTCCATCAATTTTGCCAAAAGACTAAGACTGTCTCAATGTTATTCCGCTCAGTTCAAGGTCAAGGCTAAGAAACTACCAGAAGATTCTGAAACAATTATTTGTATTGCGTTAAAACTCTAAGAAATATTTCCGTACCATTTTATTTGTTTCAAGTTCAAGACCTAGAAACTATGTGGAATCATCTCAATATCTTTTCAAGATGAAGTAAGCGTGAGAAATTGGGTTGGGAGTTTGAGAAAATTCATTTATGTGTTTTGTTAGAGGATTAATGATACCTCAATTTCATTTCTTTCATTTCGAGGTCAAGAAATAAATTCATTTTTAGATTTTATGGATATATAATTCGCTTGTCCTTGCAAGGTTACTTTAAGGTAAATAGCAAGATCGTATAGAGCCTTGATAATCACTAAATTTCTGATGAGTCAGAATCATATTTGAATTCTCAATCCAAGTTTGACCTAGAAATCATCGCAACTAGGTGACCTTGTGGGGCGAGTTTTAGATTTTTTAAACGCCGTGCTGTGTATGAAGAAAATATGTTTTTGTATTGCACGCGCACGCACATCACATGTTTTTTGAGAGCATCTATTTCAGAAAGATATCAACTTCCTTATTACAACTTTTACAATGAACACAGTGGTCTAATCTAATCCTGGAGACTCATTTTCCAATTCTTGTGAATACCTTTTTGTTCTATCCTTGAAGGAGGTCTTTGTGAATAATTCAATTCGAATCATAGAAACAAATTAACATTCGACTTTTGTTCTTTGGGTGCTTCTATTCGGCACTTTGGCGCTTGGTTTCTGGATCGTACTGGAAACACCACCTTTCGTAACCAGTCACAACGCTGTACAGAAAGTTTTGTCTTTTTTGGCCTCTTTAATGATGTTCGACTGTTGAATTCGAAGCAATTTCGTACGCATATACTGCTATCAAGCTATACAACGCGTTGCCTGCCGAGTTCACTCACTACTCTATGAAGAATTTCAAAAAAAGATTGAAGAATTTTATCTCTGATTTCATTGCCCAGTAAGTAGACCATGGCCATGAATAAGGACTCGTTACAGTTTTTTTTTTAACTCTTGTTTTCCTTGGGATTAGAAAATATACATAACTATTTGTTGGGTTAAGTTGAAAAACGCTTTTTAGCGACACTTTGTATAAATAAAGCCGGATTATTATTATTATTTTTGCGTATGTATAATTGGTGTCCTCATTTTCGGAAAAAAATCTGGAAAATTTGAATTATTTAAAAAAAATCTGTTCCAGATGGTCCCGCACGTCGAACCTAGACGACCTCACGCTCCCGTTACCGCTAATAACCGCCGCGCCGCCACCTCCGATTCGCGAACTGCGCGTGCGCCGTCAACCGCCTCCGCGTTCCGATTTCGGTTTCTCGCTTCGCCGCGCGATGGCGCTCGAGCGCGCGGCCGCGGACGGCGCGGTGCGTGCGCGCGCAGTAATTTTCGCCGAGCCGGGCGCGCACGCGCAACATCGCAACGACACCGGGTTGTTGCCGGGCGATCGGTTGCTGGAAGTGAACGGAACGCCCGTGGGCGATAGGCAGAGGGAGGAGGTTATTGAGATGATTCGGGCGTCGGGGGACTACGTTGTGCTCAAGGTAAGGAATTGTTTTATTCTATTTTATGTTTGCGGGGCGGTAATATGGAATCTCTAGCATAATGTTTTAGTTCCTGGCGAGGAAGTATTGTAATCGCGGAAAATTTCGAAATGAGATATTATGTTTTTTGGACGTTATCTGACATGTCTGTCCGCTAATTTTATATAATAATATATAATTTTGGTTGGAGATTGTAGGGGGTTGTAAATATAACGCCTATAGTGTTATTCAAAGACGTTCTATCATTAAGAAGATTCTGATCCCGGTAACAACGGAAAATTCAATGATAAAAGTCCGATGTATTTATATGTACAAATGCGGTGGTGTCGTCACTGACACATCGCTACAACAGAAATATTTATACAGGGTGACTTTGAAGTTGAGTCATTAATTTTCAGATAATGATTGTAGAAGGAAGATAAACCAAAATATGTGTGTAAAAATAAAAAAAAAAACTAAAAAAAAAATGTTTACCTTGTTTTATAAAGTATCCTCCCGACAAGTGTTTCAGTGCGGACCTGTATTTGATCGTGAGGTCCCCTGTGAGGTCTTAAGTCACCTGATTCACGAGCCCGTTGTACTACATTAACAAAGGCACGAGGGGTTGGTTGCACTCGATTGGGAAACCGATCCGCATAAACATGTGCCATTTTTTATGTCGTTAGAGCCACGCAACAGACACCACTATTCACACGCGTTACCGACTGACACTGACTGTATGTATACAACTGAATAAAATAATTGTAAAAACATCGTTCCAAATTCTTTCGCTTTTTTGTTTCCGATGCGAAGAACCGATAAGGCGGATTATATCCGTTGTTGCCAAACACGAGCACATAATATTATTATTGAGACAGGGCGGTACTCAAACTTCCAAAGGGCTATAACTTTGTTACTTTAATTTTACCAGAAAAATGGTAAAGGAAAAAACATTTCTTTTGATCAGATCTACTCACTGTTAAAATAAATGACTCAACTTCGAAGTCACCCTGTATATACTGTTCTGAATTTTATGATCCTTAAGTGTACAACCCATTTCGCCTAAACTTTAATTTGTATTACTCCGTCGATGATGGTTTTTTGAATATTTCGTCAAGTAGATAGACTCAGTACTTATGATTTGTTGATATACAACAGACACGGACTGACAAACCGACATAAATGGAAAAACTTGCGAGGATTTTGAAAATTGTTAAAGAGGCGGAGGAAATAAAATCGCTGGAACATAGTAAGTGTACAACCCATTTCGCCTAAACTTTAATTTGTATTACTCCGTCGATGATGGTTTTTTGAATATTTCGTCAAGTAGATAGACTCAGTACTTATGACGCGTTGATATACAACAGACACGGACTGATAAACCGACATAAATGGAAAAACTTGCGAGGATTTTGAAAATTGTTAAAGAGGCGGAGGAAATAAAATCGCTGGAACATAGTAAGTGTACAACCCATTTCGCCTAAACTTTAATTTGTATTACTCCGTCGATGATGGTTTTTTGAATATTTCGTCAAGTAGATAGACTCAGTACTTATGACGCGTTGATATACAACAGACACGGACTGACAAACCGACATAAATGGAAAAACTTGCGAGGATTTTGAAAATTGTTAAAGAGGCGGAGGAAATAAAATCGCTGGAACATAGTAAGTGTACAACCCATTTCGCCTAAACTTTAATTTGTATTACTCCGTCGATGATGGTTTTTTGAAAATTTCGTCAAGTAGATAGACTCAGTACTTATGACGCGTTGATATACAACAGACACGGACTGACAAACCGACATAAATGGAAAAACTTGCGAGGATTTTGAAAATTGTTAAAGAGGCGGAGGAAATAAAATCGCTGGAACATAGTAAGTGTACAACCCATTTCGCCTAAACTTTAATTTGTATTACTCCGTCGATGATGGTTTTTTGAATATTTCGTCAAGTAGATAGACTCAGTACTTATGACGCGTTGATATACAACAGACACGGACTGACAAACCGACATAAATGGAAAAACTTGCGAGGATTTTGAAAATTGTTAAAGAGGCGGAGGAAATAAAATCGCTGGAACATAGTAAGTGTACAACCCATTTCGCCTAAACTTTAATTTGTATTACTCCGTCGATGATGGTTTTTTGAATATTTCGTCAAGTAGATAGACTCAGTACTTATGACGCGTTGATATACAACAGACACGGACTGACAAACCGACATATATGGAAAAACTTGCGAGGATTTTGAAAATTGTTAAAGAGGCGGAGGAAATAAGATCGCTGGAACATAGTAAGTGTACAACCCATTTCGCCTAAACTTTAATTTGTATTACTCCGTCGATGATGGTTTTTTGAATATTTCGTCAAGTAGATAGACTCATTACTTATGACGCGTTGATATACAACAGACACGGACTGACAAACCGACATAAATGGAAAAACTTGCGAGGATTTTGAAAATTGTTAAAGAGGCGGAGGAAATAAAATCGCTGGAACATAGTAAGTGTACAACCCATTTCGCCTAAACTTTAATTTGTATTACTCCGTCGATGATGGTTTTTTGAATATTTCGTCAAGTAGATGGACTCAGTACTTATGACGCGTTGATATACAACAGACACGGACTGACAAACCGACATAAATGGAAAAACTTGCGAGGATTTTGAAAATTGTTAAAGAGGCGGAGGAAATAAAATCGCTGGAACATAGTAAGTGTACAACCCATTTCGCCTAAACTTTAATTTGTATTACTCCGTCGATGATGGTTTTTTGAATATTTCGTCAAGTAGATAGACTCAGTACTTATGACGCGTTGATATACAACAGACACGGACTGACAAACCGACATAAATGGAAAAACTTGCGAGGATTTTGAAAATTGTTAAAGAGGCGGAGGAAATAAAATCGCTGGAACATAGTAAGTGTACAACCCATTTCGCCTAAACTTTCATTTGTATTACCCGTCGATGATGGTTTTTTGAATATTTCGTCAAGTAGATAGACTCATTACTTATGACGCGTTGATATACAACAGACACGGACTGACAAACCGACATAAATGGAAAAACTTGCGAGGATTTTGAAAATTGTTAAAGAGGCGGAGGAAATAAAATCGCTGGAACATAGTAAGTGTACAACCCATTTCGCCTAAACTTTAATTTGTATTACTCCGTCGATGATGGTTTTTTAAATATTTCGTCAAGTAGATAGACTCAGTACTTATGACGCATTGATATACAACAGACACGGACTGACAAACCGACATAAATGGAAAAACTTGCGAGGATTTTGAAAATTGTTAAAGAGGCGGAGGAAATAAAATCGCTGGAACATAGTAAGTGTACAACCCATTTCGCCTAAACTTTAATTTGTATTACTCCGTCGATGATGGTTTTTTGAATATTTCGTCAAGTAGATAGACTCGGTACTTATGACGCGTTGATATACAACAGACACGGACTGACAAACCGACATAAATGGAAAAACTTGCGAGGATTTTGAAAATTGTTAAAGAGGCGGAGGAAATAAAATCGCTGGAACATAGTAAGTGTACAACCCATTTCGCCTAAACTTTAATTTGTATTACTCCGTCGATGATGGTTTTTTGAATATTTCGTCAAGTAGATAGACTCGGTACTTATGACGCGTTGATATACAACAGACACGGACTGACAAACCGACATAAATGGAAAAACTTGCGAGGATTTTGAAAATTGTTAAAGAGGCGGAGGAAATAAAATCGCTGGAACATAGTAAGTGTACAACCCATTTCGCCTAAACTTTAATTTGTATTACTCCGTCGATGATGGTATTTTGAATATTTCGTCAAGTAGATAGACTCAGTACTTATGACGCGTTGATATACAACAGACACGGACTGACAAACCGACATAAATGGAAAAACTTGCGAGGATTTGGAAATTGTTAAAGAGACGGAGGAAATAAAATCGCTGGAACATAGTAAGTGTACAACCCATTTCGCCTAAACTTTAATTTGTGTTACTCCGTCGATGATGGTTTTTTGAATATTTCGTCAAGTAGATAGACTCGGTACTTATGACGCGTTGATATACAACAGACACGGACTGACAAACCGACATAAATGGAAAAACTTGCGAGGATTTTGAAAATTGTTAAAGAGGCGGAGGAAATAAAATCGCTGGAACATAGTAAGTGTACAACCCATTTCGCCTAAACTTTAATTTGTATTACTCCGTCGATGATGGTTTTTTGAATATTTCGTCAAGTAGATAGACTCATTACTTATGACGCGTTGATACACAACAGACACGGTCTGACAAACCGACATAAATGGAAAAACTTGCGAGGATTTTGAAAATTGTTAAAGAGGCGGAGGAAATAAAATCGCTGGAACATAGTAAGAGTACAACCCATTTCGCCTAAACTTTAATTTGTATTACTCCGTCGATGATGGTTTTTTGAATATTTCGTCAAGTAGATAGACTCGGTACTTATGACGCGTTGATATACAACAGACACGGACTGACAAACCGACATAAATGGAAAAACTTGCGAGGATTTTGAAAATTGTTAAAGAGGCGGAGGAAATAAAATCGCTGGAACATAGTAAGTGTACAACCCATTTCGCCTAAACTTTAATTTGTATTACTCCGTCGATGATGGTATTTTGAATATTTCGTCAAGTAGATAGACTCAGTACTTATGACGCGTTGATATACAACAGACACGGACTGACAAACCGACATAAATGGAAAAACTTGCGAGGATTTGGAAATTGTTAAAGAGACGGAGGAAATAAAATCGCTGGAACATAGTAAGTGTACAACCCATTTCGCCTAAACTTTAATTTGTGTTACTCCGTCGATGATGGTTTTTTGAATATTTCGTCAAGTAGATAGACTCGGTACTTATGACGCGTTGATATACAACAGACACGGACTGACAAACCGACATAAATGGAAAAACTTGCGAGGATTTTGAAAATTGTTAAAGAGGCGGAGGAAATAAAATCGCTGGAACATAGTAAGTGTACAACCCATTTCGCCTAAACTTTAATTTGTATTACTCCGTCGATGATGGTTTTTTGAATATT